AATCGCGTTGACGCTCTGATAATTCACCACCAGGCAATCGATCGGCAGAAATCTTAGCACCAAAAGCTCTCATATTGGGTGTGTAGATGGGGTGGGAAGTTGGGTTGTTGCTGATGCAATCACGGTGTTGGGGTGAGGCCTGTGCTCATGCGACCAGACTTTAGTCTTAGTACTGTAGGTCTAGTCCTTACATATCAGATTGTGCAGCGTTTTTGACCTGGTCAACAAGGCGTTTGCTGTGCTGCATGGCGGCTCCAGACCTCAGCCGCTGAGCGCCTACATGTTGCTCTTCGAGAAACATTCAGGTAACTACTAGGCTCCAAGTGAAAATGCCGTACAATGCTTTGCAACATACTGTGCGTGCAGACTTGCATCTGTTGATCCAGATGGACAGAGGGCGTTCTAGATTTGTAACGTCAAACGCTATGTGAGTACCGGTGCCATGGTATATGAACCGTCACACTCGCACTGGAAGTCATCCTAGCAGAAATGGAGTTACTTTGACAAGACTTCACAGCTTTGACATCTATTTCAATTGCATTTTTCCAACATGTACAGCAAAGGCATCATCTCCGCCTTTGCGGCATCACTAGCTCTCAGTATCTCTGCTCTCCCCAACGCTCTTCCCAATCCACCAAAAGAGAGCGTGTTCAGAAACCCACTCGACAGATGTCAAACCTAAACACCACCCGGAGGCAGCCCATACGCTAAATATGGCCGCCTGAACCCAACGTACACGAAGGAGCAGCTCAACGAGATCAAACTTACATACACCGAAGTCGACAAGCTCAAGTATATCCGCAGTCTGGGTGACAGCAACAACTACTTCAATTCGACTTCACCCTCGAGGGCTTCGTTAGCAACGTGGGTAACGGACTAGTGGTCAGGGCTATCTGGCTCAAGCAATGAACTTCCCTGTATTGTTAAACACTGGCATCAGTATGGCTATTGGATATCTGAACGCCTTATAAGTCTCCTTCACCAACTGCAAAGATTAACCGCGCAGCCGAAATCGTCCTCCTCGTCGCCGGCAAATCCCTGCACACTGGCTTCGTCCAGAAGACGGCTTCGACAAGCCCGTTATCACCACCATCGGTCTCTACCAAGGCACCATCCGCCCTCAAGGCTCCATCCACTACGAGTTCAATGACAACTGCGAGCCTGCTGTGTTCGTGGCGGGCTTGAGCAGTGAAGACCCTGGCGTAAGCCGCACGAGCCAAAACTTGTTTGTGGAGGACCCCGAGCTGGTTAAGGCGAGCTTGGGATATCCAAAATCCTTGAACAATGTTAATGTTACGGAGTTTTATGGGAGTATTCCGGCGGCGTTTGCGCAGGGGGGCTAAGGCGTATCATGAGAGGTGTAGGTTGAAGTGGAATGGTACCACGCACCCTTAAAAAGTGAGTTCATGAGAGAGGAAGATGGGATGTTGTCATGTGGGACCATTGGTAAGCGACTATAGTATCGAAAGCAAAATTATTGACAAGACCTTCTGATGAACACACTTCCCCTTCGCTGATGCCGAGGCGTATCCGAAGCGGACGATCTTTCCCTGCTCGGTTGCAATCTTTTGTAAGCCATGTTGGTCGAGTTGTCGTGAAGACTTCCTTCAGGTCTCAAATACCTGAGTGACTGCATTGCGCAGCTTATGCTACTCGTTGTCATCTGACTCCGCCTCCAAGTAGTTTTCAGGCCCATCACTCTCCTCGAGATGGCGGTCTTCGAACGAGTCGTTCATACGAATGTTCAACATCCCTTTCACTAGATCGGAGAGAAGATCTTGTGGGTAGCTATCCATCGTATCTCACTCGGCAGTTATCGCGTATGCAAATATGTCGACAAGCAATCTGCGCATTGGAGATCCCGACATGGTCCCTTTGTAGATGATGTTAACAAAGTCCGCATCCGGGCTCCACCAACAATCGTCCGAGCGGAACTTCCAAGTGGTTTTCATGGAAGATTTTATAGCAGTGTTCTTCGCTCGTACCCTATGAACCAAGCTCGGTGTGTGCTACAGCATATGGTATATCCTACAACGAGCGCTCTCGGTGTATAGACACCTATTAGGAGCCGTCTGCACGCGCTTCTTGCCGCAAATACCATTGTTTAGTACCACTCTTTTACTTGCCAACTTCCACAGGCCTCTGTTTACTATCTACCTATTAACGCCAAGGGAAACAGAGCGCAGATTCAGGCGATTTAGCCAAATCTTACCCGCATGTTAATAAATCTGCCCTGCGCAGGCACCGTTTGGTTGGAATGAGCAACTGTAGAGAGATGGTGATGGAGGAAGTAACCGTGGATGGATGGATAACGCGTAGGATGACGGAAGGGGCCAGTTCGGCACCTGAGTATATCCCTCGGCCCCTCCGCCCGGGTATTTCTCTGCGCCACTCTTAGGTGCGCCACCCCCCATGCTCAGCTTACGTGTTCGGTGTAAAACGTCTTTCTAAAATGTATGGGACACTGAGGTCTGGTGTGGCTTACACTGAGGAGTGGTGGTGTACACCATCCGCTCGATATACTACACATCGACACATGGTCCATAGGGTATGTGTTGGACTTTCTCCACAAACACGTAGAGCTTGGTCAACAACAGCCGTTCCTCATGGTCCACATAGTCTGCAGGTATCGCATAGGGCTCAATAGCCAAATCTGCCGTATACACAATGTAGGCATAGCTCAAAGGTGTCGCTTTCATCCTCGGGTAGTTTGGTTATGCGCTCGCCTGATTCCTGACAGTTGCCGGACAAGGCTTTCTTGAAGAAGAACGAGCGCGAGTTGAGATAGGCGGTGTGAACTGACCAATAGGTCTTCGATAAACTTGTTTGGAAACCCCGGCTTCCCCATGAACCATTTTCCAGTCGCCGACACAGGATAGAGGTCCACTAACAATTTTCGCATCATAGAGCCACAAGGATTACCCGCATAGACTATTCCAATGATGCGGGCTTGTGGATCCCATGCATATCCGTCGGGACGTTCCTTACCTGTGCTTGCAAGCAGGCTTGCCAGAATGTCGTTCTTCGCCTCGATGTCTTGCAGTTTCCCAGCGAGTACGTAAAGTTCTGCAAGAACATCCTGCTCAGCCATAACCTGGTCTTCTATTCCCTTCGAAGACGGGTCTTGGATGACAGGAACATGGTTGGTATACGGAAGTTGCAGGTAGTTCTGGAACATAACCGGGTCGTCTTCAGATAGCCTGACGAGTCATTCTTCCGCTTCGGACCAATTTCCAGACAGCGCTTTTTTGAAGAAAGGCAATCGGTCGGTGAGGTGGGCTTCGGGAACAGTGAACTTCTTCTGCTGGCTGTCCGCGCTAACAAGGACCTCGATGCAGCTACTGTAACTCAACATGGGCGTCAGCAATGGATAATCGAAGCTCGAGCTGTACTTGCTCTTTCTAATCTTTTTGCGGGATACGGCAATCCTTCTCTGAAGCAGCTTGTTGTACATTCGCGTCCATACTGAGTCTCGCGTTGATGCAGGGGAGTTGATTCTTGCTCAGTGAAGCAGCTGGTACTGGTGGTACGGAAGTTGGAAGGCGCTGAGCCAGTGGAAGAAAGAAGAAGCACGGGAAGCCCGGAGGTAGACAGTGCTGTCGGATAAGCGAGACGAAATTGCGAGCATGCTCTTGCTTGATTTCACTTGACTTTCACTTCACCTCCCGTTCACCGAATTGTGGAGGTAGTCAGGTGTTCGATAGCAAGAAATGGCAGGATCAGAGGAAGGTGTAAATCTGAAGCGTCGCAAAGACAGTCATGGTTGGATGCGTGTTTGTTCTGTCTGAAGACCCAAATATCGATCTTACTCCAGATCCCCGTAGCCACAACCTTATTTTCCCTTCATGCCGACCCCGTGACCCTCGGCGAACTTTTACTTTTCTTCTTCACCCTGCCCCATATCACCTCAATCTTCTTGCCATCAGAGAATATAGCAGCAGGTGGCGCCTGCCCAGGGTCGCAGTCCCAACACTCTCCTCCTTTCGAGCTCTCCACCTCAGTCTGATACGTGCACTCTGAGCCGCGGTGACAAAGTCGCTTTACCCAGAAGTGGTGACTGCAGGTGACGTGCTTGAGGGTGAAGTTGGTGCACATTCCCGGTATTGTGGCCCTCAAGCCTGTTAGACTGTTTTCCTCCTTCGAACGCTTTTGCCTAATCGAATAGCTTCCTGATGATACTTGCACGCACTCTTCCCTACAGCTACGTGTACGGCAGGTGGGGGTCTAATAACTCCGGAGTGCGGTGCAGAGTGATCTCAGATCTCGCTCATTCAACGTTATGTACTACTTCCAAATAGACGAGGTAGTGTGGGTCTGATTGGGAATGTGTAACATAACATGCTCGTGAGTATAGGGACTGTTTGCGTGATCGATCGACGGTTGGGGACGTCGGTTTTCAGCTTGCACGATATGCTTATTCCTTGTTTCCTTCGAGCCAGGACCTCGGGACGGGATGTTGACGCGCGAGTAGGTTGTTGTTGGTATTGAAGACGTTGATGGTCGACGGTAGCTGAGGGACATCGTAACGAGGCTTTGTATCGACGATTTGGGTGAGCAACAGCAAACGATGGCTGATACTCTCGATAAACGTTATGGCGGAATAACGCACTCAGTAAACCCCGCCCTGAAGGCTCACAAACGGTTTGAAATTCCAATAATGTTTTCGAAATTCCCTCTCTTACGTCCCAGAGTACCTCCGGAAGGAAGGCACCGCCAGGGTGTTTGACACCTCGCATAATCGAGGGTCTAACATCTTCTTAACCTCTTCTTCCTTACTTTCGATGTACGTTCCACATATGACTAAGACTGTACCAAGCCTCCCAGCGTGGCCGCAGATCAGGTTTTCATCCTGGCCTGGAGCGCGATCGCCGATTCACTTCTGCACAGGGCTGACGACCCGTTAGCCTCGACACCTCTCAATAGGCGCAAAACACACGACAGGCGCCCCATTCAACCTCGCTTCGACATCTTTAGAACCATCTCACACTCGGACGTTTGATAGAATATTGGTGTTCTCGCTCTACAATATGTTGTTGCCGTCCCGCCTACACCTACTACAACAGTGCCTCGTGTCAGCCGGTCGATTCCGATCTCGCACAGCCAAACTTGACGAATCGTCTTGTGGCCTTTAAGGGACTCCACTCGAACGGCATATGGTGGAGGTGCAGCACCACATGATGAGAGTTCACGGACATCCACCTTCTTCATCCGGACCAACCGAAGGACAAAGAGCCCGCCAAACCGACGCAAAAGGCTACTCCTGTTGGGAAATGCCCTCAAGCACTTCATCAGGGTAGCACGTTGAATTTTCGTGCGAGCTACCGTTGTTAGTGGCGATTATCACAGGGGGAACTGAACCCTGAGTGACAGGGATTACCGATGATTTGAGCATGAGCGTGGTGCCGGGACCGAGCAACATGCGAAGTAGAACGTCCGACCAAGATATTGAAGCTGAAAAGGTCCTCTCCGGAAGGAAAACATCCTCGAGACATCTCTTTCAGACTTCAGAGACTGAACTCAACGACCATCGCAACCTTTCCTGACATGCTGACACCCACAGAGACCCACCGCTACTCTAGCATCCCCGTAATTTGTCAATTCTGATCTCCAGCATCACTTTCGATCTCTTTGATCCTTGAGGCCTTGGCGCTAGTCGTCTCGAATCGCCGCTAAATCTTGCAAGACTTCAGCCTTCAACAACAACGGTCGGAGAAGTAACGCGACCGACGCCTTCACCGACCAACATAAATCACTATCGGCAAGAGAACATCCGAGTCCGGTTCTCAGACTACCGTTGGTTTCTGATGGACTCGCGCAACTTGGCAGCTCATCATGACCATGTAACGCCGCTCGACCTGCACCATATCAAGTCGTAAGACGAACGGAACGCGGCCGCAGTCGCTTCGACACTCCAGTCTGTCGCGAATCAGCGCAGACCAATAACCGTTCCTATCATACTCGCATGCAGCGCCTGTTCCAGAAATCTACTCTTGCCGTCCAACCGTCGAATTGATATTTACAGGCCATCTTCTCGTACACGAATCGACAAACCGAGCCATACTGTTGTGGCCTGGTGAAGCCGCCACAGATCCATCTCAAACTCGAGTCCAGAAAGATGGTATGAAAAACCAGCTGAGTAAACGCTCAATGAAGCCCAGGGCCATAGGCCAAAGGCCAAAGACTATGTTTTGCCAAGGTTGAGATTGTCTAACAATACCCAGACCTCTCGCACAACTTCAAAAGTCAATACACATTATTCTAAAGCGCTGCGATTATTGAGTGGTCTTAGACAAAGATTTAATGTCATCGTGACTTTATTCGTCACGCCTCTCATCAAGGTCGACTCGCAACAATGCGGTTGGACGACGCGATAGCCATTCTAGCCGGGGTCGAGTATCTCGCCGTACTGCGCCGGCAAGGTGGCTATTATCGCTTCGTCGGTAACGCATACATACCAGACTTTACGCATGGAGGAACGATTGAGACGTGTAAGGAGAACAATCAGCCACCAAATCAATTTGACATACGATGATCACGCCATGTTTGTTGAACAAATCCCTTGCATATATTACAGTATACTACGTATCGTGTCCCCTCACCCATCGATCTGTTACAAGATATCAAAGTCTCTGTCAGAGTCTAAGCGTAGTACCTCGGCTCGTTGAAGACATGGTATTTGTGTCCTCTGACGCCCTCGCCCTTGAATAGATCTGGGAAGCGCAAGCCAGGCGCAACCTGGTCCTCGGATATAAGGTCGTTTCCGTTTTCGGGCTGGTCGACGACGAACTTGCCGACCTATTGTCCATTAGCACTACACAACAATCACCATATCAGAGAGTAGAAGAAAGCTTACCTGGAGTTCCGTATCCGTGATAGTATGTCTCGACACCCTCGCATATCCCGTGCGCTTCAACCCCTTGTACAGAATGTACTCGCACCACCTATCCCAATCACTAGGATCAATATCCTTCATACCGCTCTTCTCACCAACATAAGTATTGTAATTGCCCTTGCCGGGCTTGATGACAAGGTACGACAGCAGAATCGCCGGGCGAGGCGTGGCTTTCATGCGCTCGGCGAGGTACTCGCTCTGCAGTCTGCGATCCTCAGGGTCCTCTTCCTGACCAGAGTGGAACACGAAGACATCCACAAGTATGCCGTACGCGTCAATTGTGGCTTCGATAGCGGGCGCCAGTTCACCGACGGGAGAGGGCAGGAGGTGATGTGTTGAGTTCACGATGGGGAACTTGGAGAGCAGGGCTGAGCCCCAGGTGTGCTTGTTAGGGCCGGGGCCAAAGTCGACGTACATGCCGAGGTCTTCGGCGAGGAATTGGGTGGTGTCGCGGTTGCCCATGATGATGCGCTGGAGGTCGGATTCGAGAAGGCCAATTACGTCGACTTCGAGTTCTTTGATTAGGTCGCGCATGCGGTATTCTGAGGACCACATGTCGTTGTCGAGAGAGAAGTGGATTGTCCAGATACCGGCTGTGATGGACTTGGTCTCGGGGTGGTAGGGTGTGTAGTCGTAGGATGGGAAGCGGAGGTAGGCGGTTGCGATGGCGAGGAGCTCGAGGAAGCCGAGGACATACAAATAGTACGAGCGCTGTCGGCTGGCGGCAGCGGTGACAGTGAGCTTGCCCTTGTAGCTCTTCAGAGCGGGTGGCTGAGCAGAGACGCTGAAGACGCCTGCACCAATAAGAAGCATCATGGTAGTCATGACCCAGTCGGTGTGTTCGCGGACGAGGGGACCACCAGGGACGAAAGCGTAGGCGACAACCCAAACGTGGAACAGGACCATGAAGTTATAGACCAGGAAGCCAAGGCCGAAGGTCTTAGCTGGGGAATGGCGAGCAGCTTGAGAAATGAGAGCCGGAGCGACAGCCATAGTGTAGACGGCCACGACCAGTGCTCCGTAGTATCCGGTCCAGTGCTTGGAAGTGGTAAGAACAGCAGCGCCAATGGAACCCACACCGTAGAAGGCCCATGAGCGCGAAAGATTCGGTGCGAATAGACCAACCAAGAGGCCGAAACCCATAGCAAGTAGAGTGACTGCACCGTGAGGTACGGCGAGCGGGCCTCGGACGGGGTAGCCTTCCCACACCCATGAGATCATGGTGCTGGAGTCAGACAACAAGGAGTGCATAGAAAAGAAGAGGCCAGCGATACCGAAAGCAGACAGTGTAGAGGAACCCTTGGTAGGTCCAGGAGCCGGGATGTCGGCGCCAGAGCTGGCAGTAGACCTTGTAGACCGCAGGATGGCAATGACAGCAACGGCAAGACCAGTCTTGTTCCAGCCACCATTTGCCTCGTGCATAATCGGCCAGATGGGGTTGTTCGTATAGAAGGCAAACTTGGCAATGCTGGACGCGATCAGACCAAGGGAGAACGCTGAGATGCGCGCCTCCAAGCGATGAGGCTGCGACCTCTCTCCATAGAAAGTGGCAGCCCAAGACAAGCATGCCATCCATACACCAAATCCAGCAGAGAAGAGACGGTTCTCAGGCGACTTGGCAAGGAAGGAGAGTAGACCAGAGAGCGACAACAGGTGACAGATGCGGACGTGGCGAACGATGAGGAAGCGTAGCGGTCGTACGCAGAGCAGGAAAGGAGAAACGGTGCACATGACCATGACTTCGTAGCCAGAGATGCCCATGTGCCAGAGAGGGAAGTCTGGGGGAATTAGTACAGACGTCATGATCTAGGACTGTTGCACTTACACCAGACACACACTCCAAGAGCGGTCAGCATGGACCAGAAGACAAACTGCCGTTGTTAGTGTTCCTTCTGAGCATAGACTCGCGACCAAACATACTCCAGTGTAGACATCAGCAGCTGCGTCGAAGAAGCCAACCCAGGAGAAAGCTCCAGAGAAGACTGTACCAATCTCCTTATCCTTCCTACACAACGATTAGAGGTCGTACATGGACTCGGGTCTGAAAGACGTACTCTTTCTCGAGGACAGCGTCAGAGACGGCTTTGTTGCCAGCACTAAAGACGCAGCGGATCAGAACGTGGTCGTAGAACATTTGCATTCGTACGGGGCGTCTATCTATATTGGGAGCCGTGGAACGTACCCTCGAGATACACCTCGGACATCCTTCACAACAATCTCAAAGTTCGCAAACTCGATCATTGTGACTGCGTCGAATGCTACATCGAGCAGAACGAGTGACCATTCGAAGAAGGCGTAGATGGTGTACGCTGCAAATGATCAGTCGAGGTTCGATGATTGGTATAGCTCTTGACTTACCTCCAGGAATGCGGTGCACCTTGTGCTGGATGAAGAAGTAGATCAGCGGTACAAGTGTCGCAAAGAAGGACCCAGCAAAGAGCTTCCTGTACTTGATCGCGGTGGGGTTGCGAGGGCTCAAGGCGAAGCAGCCAAGGGTCCAGGGCAGAGTAGCGACCAAGTATGAGATCATGAATATGTCGTGCCAGTCATGGTCGTCAGTCGATGTAACGTATGTCCATCCTCCACAGGTCAATGTTCGGAAGATGCCAATGCCGGCGACGAATTTGGGGAGGGTCGAGTTAGGTCGGCGGGTCAGAATGTACCAGAGGCCAACCAGTGCGAATCGAGGGCCTGGTCGTGATAAGCTTTTGTCTTGTGATGGCTGTTTGAAGGCATACCAGATGTGAGGGCAATGAAGAGCATGAAGACGGATCGCTCCGGATAGCGGTCACCAATGGTGGCAGAGACAGAAGGAAACCACTCCTCTGGGTAGCCCTACACTTGTTGTTGGTACAGTCCACATCCTCAAAGACCATGTGCACTGACTGCAATCTCATTCTGGACGATCTTGTGGTAGTGGAGCCACCTGTATATGCTCAGTCGCGTTCGAGATCTGGTGATGGAGGGGCGGTTTTACATTCCAACGATCAGAGCACCGACGAAGGCCGCTTTGAAAAATTAGCCTGGGCGATTGATATGACACGTCCAATGCATACCATAGGCCATAGCTGTATGTGTGTATGATACCCATTTTCCATTGAACTGCGTGCTATGAGCTTGCGGAGAGCTGCGGAGATGTAGAGAGCACCTACAGACGCGACTGTGTCGCCATCTCTGTATTTGGGCGCCATCACAAGTCAATTGGGAGCACTATGCGTGTGTCTCCCAAGCAAGAAAAGAAGGGAGAAAACGAAAGAGTGTGATACAAGCGGACACCAATGCAGGCACACGACGGTCTCCTTGAAGTTCGCGCTGGCATGTGAGGTCAGGGTTCACTACTGCGGGCCAAGCCGGCAGCATGATTGGCTGGTGGGGCTTTTGCGGCTTTGGATTTCTTGAGCTCCGCAACATTTTTGCGATCGCCGCTGCTGCATAACGACAACACGGCAAAACATGGCAGGCCCCAGCGACAAGGCGCGTTTCTACTTGGAGCAGAGCGCGACGGAGCTGAACGAGCTCGAGCGCAAGAAGATCTTCACCAGAGTGAGCATTGCACTATCATAATACAATTTGTGCATTGCTAACAATTAGTAGGAAGAGATCAAGTCGATAGCCAAGAAGCGCTCAGACTTCGAGCACATAATCAATGCCAGAGGCTCCCACCCCAGCGACTACATGCGATACATCGAATTCGAGAAGAACATCGACGCACTCCGCCAAAAACGAGTGAAGCGACTCGGCATACGGCACAAGGGTGCTGGGCAGCGCAGCATCTACTTTCTCTACAACCGCGCGACCAAGAAGTTCTCTGGAGACCTGACGTTGTGGCTGCACTATATCGACTTTGCGCGCAAGGACAAGGCCTACAGGCGTCTGAACGACATCTTCACCTCAGTCGTCCGTCTACACCCCACCAAGCCTGAGCTATGGACGCTTGCCGCAAATTACTTCATGGACTCCCAGGCGGATATTACGAACGCAAGAAGCTATATGCAGCGTGGACTGAGATTTTGCAAGAACTCGGAGGACATGTGGTTGGACTATGCCAAGTTGGAGACCATCTACGTGGGCAAGATTGCAGGACGAAGGAAGATCTTGGGTCTGGATATCGATCGCACCAAGAAGCAGCAAAGCGGTGACGAGGACACCGACATGATTGCGCTGCCTGATGTAACGGCAGAAGACATCAACCCAAGCCTGAAGCAAGACGATGGCGTGGACGAGGTGGCTCTGCAGAATCTGGCTTCAGCGCCGGTTCTCACAGGAGCGATTCCTCTGGCCATCTTCGACTCAGCTATGAAGCAGTTCCCGAACAGACCCAAGGTCGTGGAGAAGTTCTTCAACATGTTCGCCGAGTTCGACCAACTGGCATGCATCCCGCGCATCCTGCAGCATGTGCTGGATTATCTGCAGCAAACCCGCCCTAGGGCTGTCGAGAACGCCATTTGCAGCTTCCGTATGCAGCTCTTTGGCCAACGTCCTGGCAGCCCAGAGTTCCCTGTCGTGCTTGGAGACGCGTTCGATGTTATCAGCTCGGCTATCGACGCTTACCCAAGTGAAGCTACTCGGTTGGCAGAGGTCGCTGTTCGCCAACTTTTAACCATCCAAGGGTCGTCTGCGGACATGGACTCGGCTCTGCAGAAAGCAATTAGGTCGACACTTCGCAAGTATATGAAGGCGCTGGGAGGCACAGACGGTGGCAAAGTCGCCAGTCTGACCAGGTCGTTGGTGCAGGAAGGAAAGAGAGACGATGCAAGAGCGTTGGTTCCGTTGAGTATCAAAACATGGTCCGCCAATGAAGAGCTGCAGGAGCTGAAAGCCGCTCTCGAAACATGAAGATGGTCAGAAGACTCGGCACACTAAGCATACCCTGCATGCTGTCACTTCGAGTGATGGGACCGCACGCCACGGCTTCGCTGCTGCTGCTATATGAGCAACACCGTGAGTCACGATGGCAGTTCTTGTACAGAGTTTGACCACATCACCTGTATTAGACATACGACCGACGAGCCGAAATGGCACTACCTCATTGTGGACAATATATCCCTTGGCCACTTCAATCGTCTCCATGGCCTCTTCTCGAACTCTTCTTGGCGCTCTGCTGCTTCTTGCTCTTCAGTCGGCGCTCGTTGTCGGCTTTTTGTCTGCGGTATGGTCAGCGATTGAGCTGTGTGCACCAACTTCAGCTCTACCCACAGGTTCTTGACATGGCGCATCTGCTCCGCGGACGTCTCATTTGGCACGGCGTTGCGCCCCGCCTCAACAATGGCATCGTACAGTCGCTTGTAGCAGGCATGAGCATTGTCGTTCTGCTTGCGACTGTCGTCGGCCTGGACTATGATATCGTTGGACTTAGCCGCAACGTAGCGCGAGCGGCTGATCTCTGCATGAAGAGCAGTAGGGACATGGTTCAGGAGAGCCCCGAGGGGTACTCTCAAAGTAGCTTTAGAATTTACTCTTGTGTACGTGTTCAGTATAGCGCGCCGTTTTCTGCTCGGGACATGATCGGTCTCACTTGTTCACATTCTGCCCGCCCGGGCCGGACGACCTGCTGAAGCTCAATTCGCCAATTGTCTTCAGTGGAATCACCTCTGCATGCAGCGCCGCGAGCCACGTCCGTGCCTTCTGCAGCTCCTCATTACTGATAGTACTGCTGCTGCCGCTGCGAGCTGATAACCAGCGGTATTGCACAGCTTGCGGGGTTCTCGCGCCGGTAGGAATTGCGATGGCAGGGCGACAACGGAAAAGTTGCATGTTTGTTGGTCATGGTGATTTCACGTCTGTGTCGGAGCTCCATGCGCAAGCCACTAGCGCCCTCACACGCTCTCCGTAGTTCCAGAAGCTCTCGGTCGAGGAAAAGCCCTGTGAAGAAAGACGTGCGCCATATCATCCCCACTTCGGTATTCCCCCAACAGCTGCTGCACTGCGCCTTCCTGTTCTCACCCTCGTTCTTGCCACTCCATATGACTGCACTGCACTCGTCGTCTTTCCATCTGAACTCGACGCTTGCTGCCCTAACCTTATCTCTGCACATCTAGCCACCTCCAGCCCCACCTTCACAACAGCTTCATTCAGTAAGCATTTCGGCGCCAGTCGCGAAATCTTTTGCACTCCGCTCCACTGCCAGCGCTGTCAGTCCTTTCGCGACGAGTGTCTGTATATGCCCTTGAGTTGATCACCCCATTCAAACCCTTCTCTGTGTTGCGGCACTACGCGCTTGCTTCGCATACATGACATACAGCCCACCACAGCAAGCAGAGCATATCCGTCATCAACAATTGACACCAGAGTCGCCGCGCCCACAACAAATTCCCTCGCCTGCGAACATCCCCATCCTGAGTCTTGATATGCAGATGGACCCTGTCTTTGACGAGTCTGCCTACAACACCCAGAATGCCACACCAGCTCTACAGTACCCGTCCGCCGCGTCGCATACACTGAACGTCCCGTCGAACACCGCGCCGCAATTCGCCGATCAGTCGCATGTATCAGGCTTCCAAGATGTAGGAGCGCAGTCCGCTGAGGGCTATGCGCAAACGGGCGGGCCTTCATCAGCATACGGCGGCGCAACGGGTACGCAGACGCAAGATACCTCTTCAATCCACAACTATTCTGCATCGCACCAAACAGGCGCTTCGTCCAACCATGATGCGCAAGTTGCATCCTCTCAGAACCAATCTGCGTACCCATTTGCCCATAATAATGCGTACACCGCCCAGCCGGCTCCCGTCCAGTCTGCCCAAGGCGCTCACTATCAGACTGAGGCCACTGCTGGCGGCAATGTTGACGTACAAGCCTTGTTGGATTCTTTGACGCCTTCTGCACACAATGCGCCGTCCGGCCAATATGCTTCTCAGTTGTCATCCCTGTCTGCCCAGCCGCAAGGCAGCGCCTCAGCTTCATTACCTCAGCCGGCGTCCAACCTCCCTCCTCGACCACCTGCGCAAGAGAAGCCTGCCACGCACCCCAACTATGACCCCAGCGATGATATTAGGTCATATCATCCCGGCAGCCAGATGCCGTCTAACATACAGCAGCGCGGCAATGGGCAATCGCAGGCTCCAAATGTGGGAGTTCAGCAGTCATCAGCGATATCACGACCAGCTCAGAGCTCACCTGCACCGGGCACTGGTCAGGCACAGGCTCAGCGGAGTGCATCACCGGGCGACGACGAGGATATACGATGGGGTCCGGAGGTGAACAGGCTGTATGAAGCATTTCTGGACCAGGAGAGGAAGTTTGTGACTGAAGGACAATGGGATCAATTTCCAATGGGCTCGCGTCTCTTCATTGGTGAGCATCTTTAACAGCCCTACCTTCGCATATCTCTAATACGCATCAGGCAACCTCCCTACTGAGAAAGTTACAAAGCGCGACATCTTCCACCGATTTTACCGACACGGCAAGCTTGCACAGATCTCGATCAAACAAGCGTATGGCTTCGTTCAGTTCCTGGACTCCGAATCATGTCGACGAGCATTGGACACAGAGCAGGGACAAGCAGTGCGTGGTAGAAAGATGCGTAAGTGCAGGCAGTTCCCAGGGTGGGCTCGTATTGACAGCAGTAGATCTAGAGATCTCTAAGCCACAACGAAACACAAAGAAGGCACCGGAACCACAGAACACAAACGGAGGTCGTCGCCGCTCACGATCGCCTGACTATAGCCGAGGCGGCACAGGACCTTCTCGAGATGGAAGATATGGTGGACCTCATAACTCCATATCACCCAGGGATCGAGATAGACGTTTCTGCGACAGGGACGACTACCGACCCATGCGCTCTCCTTCCCCTCGCGGCCCACCTCGAGGTATGCGGTCAAGAGATAGGAGTCGTGACAGATATGATGGCCGGTATCGTAGTCGATCACGAACGCCTCCTCGTCGATACAGGAGTCCATCACCAAGGCGTGACACAGATTACGACTTGGGTCTTCCTCGCAGGCCGCCGCACGAGGTACCTGATATCCAGGTCCTTGTACTCAGCGAAGGACTTCCTCGGTTAGTATCCACATACCTCCCATTAGACCCTATTTGCTGACTCGCACAGCGACTTCATCCGATATGTTGAAGACACATTCCGCACCCAAAACCTGCGTATTAACGTCCTCATCATGAGCCCTCGTCTTCCTGAGGCAGCAGTCGTGCGGAGACAAATCATCGAAGGCGTTTTGGCCATCGTGAGGCTTGACGCTGGCTCTCTTGCAAAAGGCAAGGTCAATGTCCAAGTCTTCGACCGGCGCGGTGGTGCTGGCAACGTTCAATTCAATGGTAAGCGCTCCGATACTGTGAATCAGTCCACTGCTAACTGTCATAGAATATGCCGACCTCGACCTCCTCACAGCTGCTATGCTCGTCAACAACGCAAAGCAGACCGCTCAAGCAGTCCAGCCACCTGCACCGGCGTATGGTTATAACCCGCCCCTGGCACAGTACACCCAATCCGCCCCAAATCCCTTCCCACCTGCCCCGGCCGCCCAGCCCAACAACATCTCCAACATTATTTCCTCTCTCGACCCAAACACCCTCTCGCAACTGCTCGGCGCCATGTCGCAACAGAACAATATGCCCCAGAACCCCCAGCCTGTACCTGGTATAAACGCGGATCTGGCACGCCTTCTTGCCCAAGTCTCTAGCCCTAGTCAGACTCCCGGTTTCACCTCTTCTGCTCAGTCACAGCTCCCACAACTCGGCCAACCCCAATACTCGGCTCTCGCTGCCATCCTCGGTGGTCAACCACAAACCGCCGCCCCACCTGTCCAAACACCGACACAACAACCCGGAGGTGCTCCTGATATGAACGAGATTATGGCACAGTTGGCCAAGTACCAGCGCTGAAAGCCTTGTCTTTTGCATATTGATTGACCTTCCCTAGGACTGAGGGCGTGATGCTGTTGCCCTTCGCGGACCTGCCTGGTGGTCTTTTCCTGCTCATTAAGATACCGAAGGTCTCGCCAGCTCCTGATCTCGAGGCCAGTCTCATCAAGAACGACGGCACCGCACATCCGTCCAAGATCGTTTGATGCGCTGTCATCGGTATCGTTCGCAGATATAGTCACTTGCCAGAATCGCCCTACAAATTCCGCCAACTCCACAACACTGCCGTACCGCCCCGACATCTCCCTTTCCGACCTGCTTCGCCCTATCCTGGCTACTCTCTTTGTTTCTTGTGCCCGACCCAAAGCCTTCCTGTCCAGCATCTTTGCTAGTCTGGTAAAGTCATCTGAGCGAGCATTGTACCCTCGTCTTGCCTCCTTATATATTGTATTTCGTGTTCGCTGTACGGCATCACTTGCTTTCTTCCGCAAGGCGTTGTCGGCATTTACAGCTTGATCATCTTGGGCGCATGCATTTGCTGGCGTTTGCTTTTGTCGTTTTTCCTACTCTTGTTGCTTTGTCTTAGCGATTGTCTAGCGGTTTATTGGAAGCGTGTATGTCTATATAGAAAGTTGTAAGTCCGGTGTAGGCGAATTGGAGTCCGTACCATCACAAAACCTTTCTTAGTGTGATCTCAATTTGCCATCGATTCTATACAAGATGCTGGCGCCAAGGGCTGGCAGACGTGTAAATATCTTAGGTGCCTCTATTGGGCCTAGCTCGTTCGCGAAGTGTGATGACATCGCGTGGCCGTTGCCCGCGGGCGGATCTTCGGTCATTTCTCAAAGTCGCGAATCATAACGTCACTCATTGCACTGTAGATAATGCATTCGCAGTGCTAACGTCTGTCGCTCCCTACGTACAACACTACAGCTGCCATTTCCGGCAGCAACATCACCACAATGAAGCCACGGCCTGTATTTTCCACACTCATCGCTCCGGCACGACCGAGCGGCGCATTCGTGCTGGCGCAAATGCAATGTCGCAAAAGCATACATTTCCAAACCGCAGCATTGAGCACAAGGCCACAATTGAATGACAAGAGATGGAGTTGCCTTGCGCAGCTGACACGTTGCGCGTCCACATCTACTTCCACGCCGTCGAAACCACGCTATAGCATGCAATCACCACCACCCACGAAGCCCAAAGGCCCAAAACCCACCGTCGCGAAGACCACGAAATCTGCTCCGCCGGCAAAACTACACACAGCAACCGCGTCGTCCTCGTCCGCGCCTGCAAAACGCACCGCATCGCCCCCAACTTCGTCGACGATGACGACGACGAATACCCTCGTCAAAGCGAACGACAAGCTCAACCTCCCGAGTTTTACGTATCCGCCAGAGCTATCCGTTCCAGCGCGCAAGGAGGGGCAAAATTATGCCAGTTATTTGTTCAGTTGCGGAAAAGCGTATCTCACGTTCTATAAAACCGGGATCTCGCACACGCGGCAGACACTGAAGTACGCAAAGACCCTGCGTGCCAAACTCGCCGACCAAGGCAAGGGGGTGTCAAACGACATGGCCGGTGCCGGACTTTTGTCGCGGGCAGAATGGCAAGTCCTCCGCCGCTCGAAAAGAGATTTACTCAGGCTCCCCGTCATGGGTTTTTTGATTCTCGCGCTCGGCGAATGGCTGCCTCTCGTTGTGATTTACCTGACCCCCGTGATACCAGAGGCATGCCGGGTTCCGACGCAAGTCGAGCGCGTACTAAGAAAAAAGGAGGAGAGGAGGAAGGATCGCCTGAACAAGATCGCAATCCATGCGCTAAGACTGCAGAGTCAAGACCGCACGCCGAGAACGGATGAGAACGCTGTTAGACTTGCGGCTGCGGCAGAGGGTTTGCTTGCTCCGGAGAGTAAGGTTGGGAAGGAGGGCGGCATGGCGATGGCGAGTGCCATCATTCCTCCAGACGCCAGCAACGACTTGAGTCTTTTTCACCTTTTGCTGTTGAGTGCAAGATTGGATAGCCACCCCAGGATTCTAGATAAACTGAATCTCACGCCGCCGAAGTGGCTGCTGCAGCGCAACGTGAGTAAGACGCTGGCGTATCTGACGCAGGATGACGAGTTGATTCGGAGGGATGGCGGGAGTCAGGCGTTGGATGGGCGGGAGCTGAGGAGGGCGTGTGTAGAGAGGGGGATTGATGTGTTGGGGAAGAGTGAGGCGGAGCTGAGGAGGAGTTTGGGGCAGTGGTACCGTATGTAAAGTACGATGTTAGGATAGTTCCATGTACGATGATATGGATGTATACTTAGATGTACAGAAGGTTCAAAAGAGGGAAGAGCTGGATTTGGCTAGATAAGGATGGGATAGACAGCATTGCAACAGCGCTGATTTACGGTATGTATCAGTAGTGTAAAGGACGAGACCTGATATACATAACGAAGCTTCAGTTAGTAAGTGGTGGTCCTGGTCTGGCATTCTGTGTGAGTATACTCCGAGGCTGCGATCTCGCTGCGCTGATATGCGATAGAAAGTTGGGTCTTTTCACAGAACTTACTGTCTCCTGGGTTTACCTCGACGAGAGGCGTAGTCAAAGAAAGTTACAACAAGACTAAGCCTAGAGCAGCTCTTTTTGCACAATGCATGCTAACTTTCCAAGTTGTGTAAGAGGTTCTGGGTATTGTTAGACCATCTCAACCTAAGCAGAAGATGGTCTTTAGCCTTTAGGCTTTGTTAGGCCTTCTGTCTTTTCTTCTCCGTTCATATGCAAAAGTCTAAAGGATTTGTACAAAAAGTTCGCATACACTTACAATGCACTACGCCACACTAAGAAGCCCCATAATCATTCCCCCGATTCAACCCCTTCCATCTAAAATACTTATTATGATCACTCCCTGGCTCCTTAAACGGCCAGTCTCGATACGCTCTCACCAGCTCCTCGATCATCTCCGCCGTCAACACGCGAACCCTGAGATGCTTCATATTCATTCTGCCGCCCTTGTCCGGATCCGTCAAGCTGGGGCAACTCTCAATGATCTGGCTCGCGCCGTGCTGCATCTTGTCGAGCGCCTCGGGTAAAGGCCGCGACGGGACGGTGAACAAAGCATACACAAAGTCGTGCACCCACTCGTGCCAGTCGACCGTCTGGCCTGCGGGACGTGGAAAAGGTGTCGATGAGATGAGCGCCAGCCGGTTCGGGGGCCAGGCTTCGTCGGGCGTCATGGTGAGCGGCTCGAAGGGACGGCGGTCCCATTGCAGGCGTGAGTGGGGCGGGAAGCGGAGGGAAATTCGGTCGTCGAGGATGGCTATGGGTGATGCTTTGTAGTTCGCGGCGACCGCGGACATGAGTTTCTCCCATTGTTTATCCAGGTCCGTGATTTGTTTGAGGAGGTCGCCTCTTTCTGGGCCGTCTGGCATGCGCAGCGCGCGGCATTCGGCATGGTATAGTTCCTCGCCTATGTCGGCGATGTGTTCCATGTGCTCTTTCTTCGCGATCCGCGCGCGATCGGCGGCTTTGGTGAGCATGAAGGCGTGTGCTTCTTCACGGCCGGGGTGATCCTCTTTCCCTTTCCAGAAAGTCCCCTTGCGTTTCACCTTAGGGTCTACTGCGTTGCCCATCGCTTCGAAATTCAGATCTGGATACTTCTTCTGCAGGGCTATTGCGTGGTCTTGATGTTGGAACTGGGCGTCACTGAGTAGTCCAATAGGAGTCTTGCCTTCACGATGTTTCGCCTGAAGGTAATCGTGAAGCCATGAGCCCTTACTCCGACCGGTCCCGTTGGACAATTCTTCGATCTCAGCGGCGATCTGATGTATCTTGTCCTCGCGATGGGTGGGGAGTGACATGCCACTTTCTCTTGCTCTCTGCATTGCCCGCACACTGCTCTCGATCTCATATTGCGGTTCGCGACCGGGGGCCGCTTTGCCCCTTCCTCGTTCACCGCGTGGTGCATTTACTATCAGATCCATGCTTTGAGTCATTTCCAACAAGCAGTTGTTCTTTGCAAAATTCGCAATGGAGTCGGCAATGATGGGCTTGAAGTCATCTGCTGATACCCAAAATATCGTTCGTACGCGTCCATAGGCATGAAAATAGTCGTTGGACCGGACAGCGGAAGAGAAGAGATTGTACAGCTGCTTCGCCATCGAGTCGAATGCCATGCCTGGCAGCTTTGGGTCCCACACCAGCGTTCCAGTTACTAGGAGGGTAGTATTCAGTTCTTGTCCACTGTCGTCCTCGGGATTGACGCGAGTCTGATCAGGGAATACACCCTCGTTTATCATTTCAGTATACTGCTCCAGTTCAATGGTGTCTTTCTGCACCAGCTTGTATTTCGAACCGGGCGCATTGAGGAGGGGATCTAGGAACGTTTTAAATCGGTCGGGGCTCGGTTCCATAAGAACGTGACTGCGTGGTTGGAGGAAGGCATGCAGCTTCTGCGACCAGAGGCCGGCACCAGGGTTGATATCGAGGATGTCGCAACCTTTGTGGATCTCTAGACTCTTCCCATAGTACTTCAAGACGTCATCTGTGAGGGTCTTGTGTCAGTACACACACAATATCAACTAGCTCTTGCTCCGGACTCGACGTACCGCATAAATCTGGACTTACAATCTGTGTTCTCGCATGGTGGGAGGTTGCAGTTTTCCGTTTCTCTCGAGTGTGGCCCTTTATCATTCGTCTATGGGGCTCTTCGGTGTTTGGATGCACCTTATCGAACAATTCCTGCGACAGCGGATACTTGTCACTCGTCGCTAGTGTCTCTTTATTCCAATGCATAGGTACGCCATCCCTTGTGCCTTTGCTCACTCGGCCACTCGCCGAATTGGCGAACCATGCTTTGCCAGTCCTCTTCAGATGTGTGCTTAGCCGCGGTAACGACGGGCGTATGCGAATCATGAAGGCGAGTGTCGTTGTGCTGGTGCGCAGTTGCGATCTGCGCGGCGTTCATTGAGACTGCCGCGGCGAAATACAGTCTAGTCCACTTTGGGTCGAGCGTGTTCTTCCATGACACGCACTCACGCGTCCCTTTCATGTGTACAAAGTTTTGAATAATACGAAACTTACTCAAAGGTGGCCTGATCCCAATCTTTGAGGTGTTTGTATATCTCAACTGAGCATCGACCGCCAGATCAGGAAGGTGGACTTCGCCTATGGAACCCACCATGGCGCCAGACGAAATGCAATCACTCTTCACTCCACCAATATGACTTCGCAAGCGGACAGTAACATTTTGATCATCGGCGCGGGAACCTGGGGTTGCTCCATTGCACTTGAGCTCGCCAGACGAGGCCACACCGGCATCAAGGTGCTTGACGGCAGCTCCTTCCCCTCAGCCATCTCCGCGGGCAACGACCTCAACAAAATCGCAGAGGAAGCGAACCAGCCATCCCAAGATGACTCCGACGAGGACTATTTCTGGCACCGCGTTCATGAGATTGCTATGAAAGCATGGAAGCACGATTCGCTTTTCGTACCTTTCTACCATCCCACCGGCTTCATCGATGCTGCTGTGAGCGATGATGCATACGAGCGCTGCGTTGAATACGCTAAGAGCGATAACGCCACACTGGTGCCGTTGAAAACGAAAGAAGACTTTCAGAGGACGATGCCTGATGGTGTTCTGCAAGGCGACTTCCCTGGCTGGCGAGGTTTTTGGAAGCAAGGTGGTGCGGGCTGGGTATTTGCGAGCGGCGCCATGAAGGCCATGCATGTAGAAGCTGTGAGGCTGGGAGTGCACTTTGTGACTGGCGATTCAGAGGGTAGAGTAGAGGCATTACTCTACAGCCAAGACTCGAAGACAGCATCTGGAGCACGTACAGCTGATGGCATCTTCCATACTGCGAAACATACGATACTCTCCGCCGGTGCCAATAGCGACCACTTACTGGACTTCAAAAGCCAACTTCGACCGACAGCCTGGACACTTGCACATATCCCCCTATCTAGCGAAGAAGCAGCTCTGTACAAAGACCTCCCAGTCCTATATGGTGTCGATCGAGGCTTTTTCATCGAACCAGATGCCGAGAAGCAAGAGATGAAGCTCTGCGACGAGCATCCAGGCTACATCAACCCAGTCATCGAGGATGGGAAATTCCGTTCCGTTCCTTTCGCACGCCATCAAATCCCCGCCGAGGCTGAAGCACGTATGCGCCTTCTTCTCCGCGAGACGATGCCGCAGCTGGCAGAACGCGAGTTCAGCTTTGCACGCATGTGCTGGGACGCCGACACCGTTGATCGCAGGTTTTTGATCGACACACATCCCGAGATCGAGAATCTGATTGTGGCTGTTGGGGGCTCAGGCAATGGCTTCATGACGAGTCCTGCTATCGGTGTACTAGTGGCAGATATCCTCGATAATAGGGGCGAGATCGAGGAGCGCGTAAAGAAGATGTTGAGATGGAGATCGGAAACTGCTATAAATCGAGACTGGTGGGACTCACAGGGGCGCTATGGTGCTAACGGCAAGGTCATGGATTTAAGAGATGTCAAGAAGTGGGCGAGAATAGGTGATAAAAGGTTCAGCGTAGCGTAGGATCAAATGACGAATGTTACCGCCGTAGCCAGGAGGCAGTCGGCCCCACACAAAACCTTTGTCGACCATTGACAGAAGAGCCAGGAGGTCAGAGAATCGAGGTTTGCGGCAAGTTATCGCGACTACCAACAGCCTGAAATCATTCAGTCACATTCCATGCTCCATCGAAGACCTTACGCCTCACCATGGAGGCGCTCAGATACTTTCGCTGCCGTCGTTGCCTTGATGCGCACATTCCTCTCCCCATCCCACCTCCACACCTGTCGACCGCACTGGCAGAACCTTGCTACTGCGCTTGCCTCGCGCAAGAATTCCGCGAAGAAGAAGGCTGCGGAGTCAAAACCGTACGAGTCTGCGCCTCACACACCAACAGCATCGCCGCCCAGAGACAGCCGGATCTTCTCATTGGCTTCAGGCCCAACGCAACTTGCTGGGTTGGAGGGGGTGAGGTTGCGGTCATCGCGCCGCTTGGTAGGTTTGACTAGGTCGGTGATAGCAGCTTCAATAAGGCCATGCTGGTGTTGAAGCGAGGGGTGGAAGGCGTCGACGTCGCGAGAGCGGAAAGCTTGACCTTTATAGGAGTCGGACAGGGTGCCTGATATGGTGGTCAAAGTGGCGGAATTCATGTTCACGAAGCAAAGAGCAGCGAGATGAGGGGGTCGATGCGGCCGTTGTGACCTCAGGGCGTACAGAAATGCCACAATTCGACATATCTGGAGGCACTCAGCCGTGCTATGGCTCCAGTCAGCGTTCACGTCAACATTTCAGGAGGCTACGACTCGGATCCGGTTGCGCCACAAGTATAGCCGGGCTAAAGTTGTACCCGCACGCCATCCTTCTTTCCTGAGAGTACGAACAGAGCTTATGCTGCTTCAAGTTCTGCTTGTGAGCGCGACTTCGCTTGACCGGAACAGACATGTGCGGCTAATTCAATCAGCAGATCCTCTAGGCTAGCTTCGCTCCACATACGCTATTCTCCTGCTAGCTCATTCTGATGCTTGCCGTCATCCTTCTGCACATATGCAATGTGCTCATCTTTGTTGCCTGAGCAATTAGGCTTGTCCTGATTGTGTCACTGGCAGTCTCGATAGGGCTGTGTTGAAATAGCCGCAGAGAGAACACTTTGCGGTGTATATAACCTTTAGGACCCGAGGGTCAGAAAGGTCGGCCTTTTTGTATCGCGGCGGGCCGCGACAGAACACTTCCAGTCACCAACGAAGGGTATGTAGCTAGAGTTACTGCAGTCGTACTTTTCTTTCTTGTTTGGTAGCGCATTTCCCTTTGGTGATGTCTCATCCTCTGCGTCGGTGGGACGCTTGCGCTTTCCTTGGTCGTTGGCCTTTATTGAGGGAGTCACGTTTCCGCCCGACTTCTCACCGATGGGTTCCTCGATGGCCGTGTCGTTGATGGCTGGCTGACCCAGGCCATTCGCGTGACGCAAACGAGGAGCTTTCGGTTTGGGCTATCTAGACGTTGTTGACTTGGTCCGCTTGGAGGTAGTCGATTTAGTGGCACCGCCTCAAGCCGCTTGGAGGAAGCCGGCGCGGCAGCGGCTGACGGAGGCTTTGGTCCATAATGGCTGGGAGCAGAAGTGGCTGCTTAGTGTCAGCCAACTCTTCGTCTTTGGTTCACATCTCACCTACACTGTCCACTTTTCTTGTCACTCTGTTCCTGCCTTTGCAATCCCTTTTTGCGTTGCTCTTAACTTTCTCCGCAATTTTCTTGTACTGCATGACGATGTTCAGCTTCTCGATCAGAAACTGACTTCAAGACGGGGCATCTGCATCAAGAGGTCTACATCCTTCAGAGTTGTAGCCCACATGAAATGGCTCTTCATCTTCAATAATTTCCATCGAATCCCATCCACCTTCCGCACATGGTTTTTTCCCTTTGCATGCATTCTTAGGCCAACTCTTTTGACGTGCTCAATAAAAGCTTTAACGATATGTTTAAGGAAAGGATAACTATGATCCTAATTGTGGTTGCCGCTCATGTCGCTTTTACCGCTCAACATGTCAGTCAAAACTTCACAACACGAACAGGAAACAGATCTTCGTCTCCATCACACTCGATGGCTACACAGTTTCAAGACGTCATGATGCCCTCTAATACCAGAAGCTGGGAAAATCCAGATCTACTCTGTGACATGCCAATCGTCTTCATCCCCATAACTTTCTTCCACAGCCTAACAACATTCGTAACGTGATCCGGATGCTGCATCGCCAGCCTCGCGCCTAGAGTCTACACCTTGCTGGACTGCTCATCGTTCGAATTCGCCCTGGACAGCTTATGAATTCTACCCTCAACCTGGTAGAGTACGAGGCGCGCAAGGTTTTCCAGCATGGTGAGTAACACGCCGGTATCCTGGAGCATGGCCGTTTTGGTTTTTAGTGTGAGTCTTATTGCGATGTTGGGACACGCAAGAAGACTGAGGGCTCGTGGTCTAACATGTCCGTGACGTTGTCCCATAGCGACTTGAGGAAGTTGATGTCGGTTGGTGCGCGTTGTGATAGCTTTGCGAGGGCACGAAGTGCGGATTCGCCCAGCTCCATGTCGTGTGATGAGGTAGGAGGGTACATGTTGGCGGATGAAGATCACTTGTTTAAGTACGGTACTATAAGTATGACTGTGCGGTTGACTAGAGAACGAACTAAACTTGCGAAATGGTGAGAACGAGCTTCGAGGAGGTGTAAGCAGCGAGGGAAGCGAATGGAAAAAGGTGGCGACTGGCCTGTGGCCAATTTTTCAATCACCCTTCACCTATTCTGTTGTCTCGTACCAGGTCAGCTGCTTGTTCTGAGCTCTGAGCATATTCGATGTTGTAGCGTACAGAATTTCAGCAGTATCTGCCTCGTCCATGACTCTTATAGTTGTAGTCGTTGAGTGCCGGCCACAGGTAATCTGAGGTTGAGGAGTCTACCGTGAAAAGCCCCTGCATCCTGTCTGATAAGCTCCAGCTGCTTTTGGAAGCAAGGCTGCACACCCCCAGCCAAGAAAGAATCCTCTGCCATTATGAGTCTAATTGCATGAAAAAAACACAAGGCTTGATGGTACTGTCGACGTGGGCCAGATGTTGCGAGTCAGACCCGTTTCTGGCGTTAGCAAACGAGGTACAAGTGAAGGGACGTATGAGTGAAGGCGAAAAACCCCTAAACTACCTGGCCTACACTACCTGTCCTTGACCACCACTGCACGCACACCAGCTATTCCGCGCCACATCATGCGTACTAGATCGCCAACTCCCGAGAACTCGCAGTCCGAGGTTGCAGCTATCTTGTTTGCCATGTCGCAAACTCCTCCACAGAAGGTAGCAACCAACCCCAAGATCTCAGAAAAACCTGGAAACCTCGAACGGCGTCCTAATGCTGCATCTCCGATATCTGACTCTATTGTTGTCTCCAAGGTCTCCAACAGCGACGATGAGGATGCAGTCACGCAAGCGCGCACCATACACCGAGATACCATCATCGGTGCAATGAATCCGTGGGGAGGCTTGCCGTATATCGAACACCGAGCCGCACAAAGTCCAGTGAAGTCGGCAGTCGCAAGAAGCACTGCTCGGGCAGTGTCTACTCCTACGTTGGCCGTCACAAGCAGGCCAAACAGCTCGCTCTTGTACACATCTCCATATGCGATGGCTGAGCACATAAGGCCATCTTCTCTCGTCGCAGGATCCACCAATTCAGGCTGCTCAGGAGGCGTCGATAAACCTGCGCAAATGGGCGGGCAGGCGATTCCACGAGCACAACTACGATCGCTCATACCTGTTGACATGTTCGAGTATTGTCAGGGCCCTGCTCCGTCTGTTGCTCGGAACAAATTCGGAGTGTCTTCAAGGCATGCATCCGTGCCTCTTCAACATATGGGCCAAACACTACACGGAAGCGGATTCATATCCTTGTCTTTCGAGGAAGCAATGAGTGGATCGCGATATGTGTCTCAACCACCATCCAGGGATGCATCCATGCTTCCGCCGACTAAAATTGATGAGAGGCGACCTCAATACGCGCGGCAGCCGTCTTTTCAGGTTAGGGCAATGCATCTGTCATCACACATGGCCAACACAAAGCACCCAGAACCTGTTCCGAACACCCAGGACGTGTCTGGTTCATCCTTGCCAGAAGATGAACAACAGGTGTCCATGCCACATCCATTCCACACGGATGTGAGAGTAACTCAGCATGCGCGCCAATCACTTCCTCAACCCGTGGCAACATATCAGCCCTCGCACATCGATGACGCGCCTAATTCAGGTGCGGTAGAAAGCGCAGGGGTGCGGAAAAAGGTACAAATTCCTCGTGTTCCATACAAGCACGGCGCGACACCCCCCAGAATCGCTGCAACGAAACGTGTGAAGACCGGTTTTGCACCTAAGGAAATCGACATCAGCGATTTCAAGTACCGAACCATCAAAGCCATCAAAATGCCTACGCGAGACGATTTGATGCCAGGTCAAGACCCACCAGAGCCAACCCCAGAGAATCTACCGTACGGGGATGACATAGACTATCAGTTGAGCATGCTCATGTACTGGCTAGACGAAAAGGAGCTGACCTACAGCGAGAGCGCAAGACTGTATAGGCTAAAGTTTCCGGGTGAGACTGGCACTGACGATACCGTCCGCAAGAAGCATTACAACACCTTGATACGGCTGGCAAGGAGACACGGATTGAGACCCGAGGAAGATCTTGGGGAGCCGGGCAAGAACGTTCTGCGTCGTGGTAAGCAGGCTGGTCACAAGTACAATACCATTGGTGGCAGGGTCGTCTATGCCGCTGGTGGTGATCCTCTTGTCGACGGGGCAGCTCGGCGAAAGAGGGTCTCTGAGCCATTGGCGCATCGAGGGTTCCTGAAGGCGTGCATCTGTGTCTGGAAAGACACCTCGGATGTTAGCTTTGAGCAGATCCAGCAGAGGCTGGCGGAGGAGTATAATTGGATCATGCGTGCAAACACTGTCCAGAAACTGTACTACAGCGAGCGTGCACGAGTTTATGACATGTATGGGGATGCTGGTAACGATGTTGAGGAAGAGCTAGACGCAGAAGAGGCTACTGGGGCGGTCGTGGAGGAAAATGCAGTGCAGGTTATGGCGGGAGAGGATGCGGATCCTCGCTTCGTAGATATTAATACTGCTCGCTAGCCGCCCATATAGATCGCGGCTTCATCTCGCAGCAGTCCCAGTAATGTCTTGGGTCAATTGCCATTCGTTGTTTTATGGACGACATCTTGAGCAAAGGCTCTTGGTCGAATTGACGTAAAGGTCGAGACATTGTGAGCGCAAGTATCAGCGATGGTGGGTCTTTTTATCAGGAGAGGTTTACGATTTATGGCTGCGGTATTTTACGATAAGATGATAAACAAAAGTGACCAGAAGCGCAAGAAGATGATGTTGGTGATGTCTGAGATGGTGGCGTCAACGAACCATCACCCATGCAGCTAGGCCGCCTTGGCTCGCTTAACGATACGCCCACCTCAATATCGTCGCGGGTGCGCGAACTTTTCGATTCTTCAACCTCGACGTTCAACTAACCCGACCTTATCAGAAACGACAGACCACCTCTCGCACTAGCCATGCGTGAGTATCGTCCTTCTGATCGGCTGCGACAGCCTGGCTAACGACCGCTGCAGCTCCCAAGTTCGATCCCTCCGAGGTTAAGGTCATCCACCTCCGTGCGACCGGTGGTGAAGTCGGTGCCTCCTCCGCCCTCGCCCCCAAGATCGGTCCTCTCGGTCTCTCGCCCAAGAGTGCGTATTCCACGAAATCATGCAAGCGCATTTCTGCGCTTGCGCCTTTGTAAATAATCACTAACGAAGACGGCAGAGGTCGGTGAAGATATCGCCAAGGCCACCGGTGACTGGAAGGGTCTGCGCGTCACCGTCAAGTTGACCATCCAGAACCGTCAGGCCGCCGTCTCCGTCGTTCCCTCCGCCTCTTCCCTCGTCATCAAGGCCCTTAAGGAGCCTCCCAGGGACCGCAAGAAGGAGAAGAACATCAAGCACACCAAGTCCATCCCTCTCGATGAGATCATCGCCATCGCCAAGACCATGCGCTTCAAGTCCATGGCCAAGGACCTGAAGGGTACCGTTCTCGAGATCCTCGGAACTGCTTTCTCCACCGGTTGCCAGGTTGACGGCCGCAGCCCCAAGGCTGTCTCCGACGACATCAGGTCCGGCGAGATCGAGATCCCCGATGAGGAGTAAATGTTTGCACATCGGTGAAATGATGCATAACAGACATGATCGGATGATTTACGCCATAGAAGGTTTACATAGCTGAATGAGCAGTACGTCTCCAACACAGAGCTCCAGTTTTCGACTGGTGGGACAAGCCCAGGTGCGGCGTTTGAGGTGTCTGATATAAAAGTGACCTTGGCATAAGGCAATGAGATACCCATTTGATCGACTCAATTCATGTTTCCCATCGTGACATGTGCCCTCTCCGTCCATTGAATTTTTTGCGATTGCCCATTTTGACAACATTGAGTATGGATGCTGTGTCGCATTCTTGATAGGTATTCAGTGAACTTTTGATGGTGAAAAGGCCCGGAATCTTGTGCAACCGCATCGTTTCAATCGAGCAGTGCATACATCCGCGGACAATTTGGACCCCAAATGCGCTATGCTCAATTCGTATTAGTGCGAGTTTATCGATAAAGAATTGAAGCAGCTGTCGCAAAATGTTGGAGACTGACGACACAATCACGCGCTCAAGCACCATTAAAATGTCGAAAGAGAAGGCCAGTGTGGAGGTGTCCAAGGAATCCAAGAGCGGTAGCCAAGTGGAGTTGAAGCAGGGACAAAAGAGGAAGCGTGTGGAAGTGGCCAAGAAGGGCGATGGGAAATCGATCAAATTCGATGAACCGAATGCCTCCAGGGTCGATGAAGCCGACGTGAAGACGGAGGCGCCAAGTCGAAGATCAGGATCGCCATCTCAACGACAAAGCTCCAAGCCGTTATCAAATCCAGGCCGAAAGGACAACAAATCATCAGGGCGAAACGGGAAGTTGGCGAATACAAAGCATCAACAGAGCATTCCACCTCACCTTTTGCGCAAGCGTGATGAGCTTCTACCCAAGAGAAAAGCCCTCCCCATCTGGCTAAAAGTGGACGAAATCAAAGCCTCCCTCAAGAAAAACAACGTCCTCGTCCTGACCGGAGAGACAGGTTCCGGAAAATCAACCCAAGTCCCACAATTCCTGCTGAATGAGAAATGGTGCACAAGGTGCATAGCAATCACACAACCTCGACGAGTCGCTGCTATCTCCCTAGCGAGACGTGTAGCTGAAGAGATGGGTAGTTATATGGGTAGCCAGAGCCCTATGGCGAAAGTTGGCTACAGTGTGCGTTTCGACAATGCAACGGGACCAAATACGAAGATCAAATTCCTCACAGAGGGAATGCTGCTTCAAGAAATGTTGAGGGATCCGGTTATGTCGCAGTACAGCGCTGTTGTTGTCGATGAGGTGCACGAACGCAGTGTTAATGTCGATTTGATCCTCGGATTCTTGAAGAATCTGGTTGCAGGGGTCGAGCAGAGCGGCAAGAAACGCGATCAACCTCTCAAGGTCGTCATCATGAGTGCTACGGCGGATGTGGAGGCACTCGTGGATTTTTTTGACGACTCCGGTGCGTCAGAAAAGACATTGTCGGCGTCAAACGATGATGCGGATATGAAAGATGCACTAGAGCAGGCAGTCACGAGCCGCGTTTCCAAATGCTTCGTGGAAGGCCGACAGTTTCCAGTCGAGATGATCCACCTACCGAGCCCTACGCAGGACTGGGTTGAGTCAGCGCTCAAGCTCATCTTCCAAATACACTACAAGGAGCCGCTGCCAGGAGATATTCTGGTGTTTCTTACAGGCCAAGACACGATTGAAGGGTTGGAGAAGCTCGTGAACGACTATGCGGAGGGCATGGACAATGAAGTACCTAAAGTAAGTTCAACGCCGGTCAAACAACCCGAATAATTGAGTAGCCTGGAGGCATCCAGATGCTAAAGCGATACAGCTTCTTGTCCTTCCTCTCTTTGCAGCTCTGCCACAACACGCACAACAGCGCATCTTCGAACCGACACCAGTCCGCACACGAAAGGTAATACTAGCAACAAACATCGCCGAAACGTCCGTCACGGTGCCAGGTGTTCGATATGTCATCGACTGCGGCAAGTCAAAGACCAAGCAATTCCGCAGCCGTCTCGGCCTTGAATCACTGCTCGTCAAACCGATCTCCAAATCTGCAGCAATCCAACGCAAAGGTCGCGCCGGTCGAGAAGCCCCCGGGCAGTGCTACAGACTCTACACTGAGTCGGGCTACGCCGAAATGGAAGAGCGCACCACCCCCGAGATCCTGCGCTGCGACCTCAGCCAAGCGATCCTGACGATGAAAGCGCGCGGCGTGAACGACGTCCTCAACTTCCCCTTCCTCGACCGCCCACCCCGTGACGCCCTCGAGAAAGCTCTCCTGCACCTGCTGCACCTGCAAGCGCTCACCGAGACCGGCACAATCAGCGAGATCGGATTGAAAATCGCGAAATTTCCGCTCACACCGACCCTCGGCCGCGTGCTCGTCGAAGCCGCAAAACCCGAGCGCGACTGCCTCCTCGACGTCATCGACATCATCTCCGCCCTCAGCGTGGAAAACGTATTCCTCAACCTCGTAACCGAAGAGCGCAAAGAAGAAGCCTCCGAAGCGCGGCGAGAACTCTACCGCCGCGAGGGCGACCACATGACGCTCCTCGTCACCGTGCAGCGCTACGCAGAAGAGCAATCCGACCGCAAAGCCTGGTGTATTCGGCACTTTGTTTCGCATCGCGCGATGCAGAACGTCATGAATGTGCGCAAGCAGCTGCGGCAGCAGTGTCAGCAGCTCAAGCTCCTTGCGCCGGGAGAGGAGCAGGATATGAAGGCTCCGTCGGAGGAGAGGACGAAGAATGTCTTGGCGTGCATGTTGAGGGGGTTTGTGGCGAATACGGCGAGGTTGATGCCGGATGGGAGCTATAAGACGCTGAATGGGAATCAGTTGGTGGCTATACACCCTGGTTCGGTTTTGTTTGGGAAGAAGGTGGAGGCGATTGTGTTTAATGAGTTTGTGTTTACGGGGAAGGCGTGGGCGAGGGGGGTTAGTGCGGTGCAGTTGGACTGGGTTTCGGAGGTCATTGACTCCATTCTGTAGATGAAGATGAAATAGATGCGGCCTGGCCATCAGGATGGCACTGTCAATGAGAACGCCGGACTCAAGCTCATTAGCGCGACCTTGCCACTACTATTAGAGTGTTGCATTGAAGGCCTCCAGCACCCTCTATGGGATAGCGAGAGCCCTCCGATCTTGATCCTCAAGTGTCAGGATCAGAAAGCGATGTCATGTACTCTGAAGTTGAAGGCGCTTTGCACGGCCTGCTTTCGACCTTCATAATCTCGCCAAGGGTACCGTGCTATTAATCGATAACGTCGTCTCTCCTCGCAAACATCTCCTTCAACACATCGTCCGTCTTCGCACCAATTGCGTTGTGATACATCGAATTCGTGACGAACGGTTTGCACCCCTTGATCGTGTTCGCAGTCTCCATACTCAGCTCAAAATCCACGTACATGTCGTCGTGATAGACTGCCGCGTATGTAGGCACATTGTTCTTCTTCAGCTGCTCAACATCGTACAGCGCAGGCCATTCTTTCTCTTCAGCAAGCAGCTGGCCCACGTTCTTCATCTTCGTAAGCTCAGGGTAGCAGTCGAACATGAACGGGTAGATCATCTCGCCGGTGAAGTAGACTGGGTCTGCGGAGTCCACATTCTGCAACGAGAATTCAGGGAACTTTGCGAGAAGACGTTCAGCGGACCAGTTGGCTGCTTCACCTTGGCAATAGATGGGTTCGTGGATCAAAGCATATATGACGTTCGTGTCCCACGACTGCGCGGCTTCGAGCGCAAGCACAGTGGGACGCGTGAGGTGTCCGAATTGGCTGAGGTCTGTGTCCGCTCTCAAGACCAATGCATGCACCTCGTCGAATCCACCGTGCTTTCCGAAGAAGATCCCAAGCTGAAGGAACCGCCGTGCGCTGAGGTAGCCCTCGCCGCCTTGTACGCGGACAGTGGTGTCGCCGAATCTGGAGAGGAGTTTGATGATGTGCTTTACCCGGTCGACATCCTCAGGGTACTTCTCGTAGTACTGTTCATTCCGCTTCTTGACACGTTTATACAGGCGCTCATAGACCTCATCTGGATTGCTGCGCAGAGGCGGCAGGCCGCCAAAGAGGAAAGCCTCCTTCACGCCTTCAGGGTAAAATGAGAGGTACGTCGTCGCGCAAAAGCCGCCAAAAGATTGCCCCATGATGGACCACTTCTTCTTATCCTCGGGGTAATCTTCAGTCAGTGCTTTCCGTACAGCCTCGCAATCCTTCACGATGCTGTCGGCGCGGAAGCTCTTCATGTACTCTGTCTGGACCTTCTCATCGCCGCGGAGCTGCAAGGAGCTTTGACTGATGGCGGTAGACAGCCCAGTACCACGTTGATCAAGCATAAGGACGCGATATCCCTTGTCGAGAATAGTCGGGACCCAGGACACATTTTCAGGGCTGCGGCACTCGAAGCCTGGGCCACCCTGCAGGTAGACAAGCCATGGTAAATGGACTTTCTTGGGGTCTGGCGGGCCGTCTGGAGAGTAATCGGCTGGCCTCTCTACTTTGAGGGCTGAGCGTGCGAATAGTTGGAGATGGCCTGCTGAGGGGTTGGAATAGTCACGTGGCACTTGGAAGAAGTGCTCGGTGATTCTGAGCTTCCCTGGGGACAGTCAGATGCCTTGCACCAGTGTTGGCAGATTGAGAGATGTACCAGGCACCAGATGACTTCTTTGCTCAAGGATCTTTGCTGCTTGTATCATGTTGCTGATGTTTGTTGTGGTGTCTTGTAGGTGGAGTGAATGTCAAGGTAGCTTTATCGATAAGGAAGGTGCCCCACATCCAGCACTATCATGTGCAGGCGTGATGCATGAGCCACAAGGCTCGGATTACCCGCCAGATCATATCCAGCACATCAGGAGAACCTACTGGGGCGGTTATCATCTTGAAAGAGCCGGACGTCCTTTCTAGCTATCGTTGTCGGGTTCATTTGTTTTGCGTCTCCAAAAACGAAAATTTCTAGCAACTGCGGGGGCGAATCCGATCCAAAGTTCAGCACAACTCCAAGAGCAGAGAGACTTCCGTTACATTGACCTGAGAATCTAAGTAACGACACAATGGCGAAGGACAAAAAGAAGGGCGACAAGGCAGCCGCCAAAGCAGCAAAGGCTGCAAAGCAAGAGAAGAAAGCAGGCAAGAAAGATAAGAAAGTAGCATCCAAGAACAAGGATGCAGACTCCGACACTGAGTCCGTAGACCTAGATGCAGTTCTGGCGCAATACGCAAAAGAGCAGGAAGCGTACCACGAAATCACGGAGACTGCCTGCGAGCCTCCATCGCCCAGGTCATCCAGCACATTGATTGCAAACCCAGCCAACGAGAACGAAATCTTCTTGTATGGTGGAGAGTACTTCAATGGCGCGACTGCGCACTTCTACAACGATCTCTTCGTCTACAACATCAAGCGGGACACTTGGAGCAAAGTCACGAGTCCCAATTCGCCCTTGCCGCGATCCGGACATGCCTGGTGTCGCGCTGCCAACACCCAGGAGATCTACTTGTTCGGTGGCGAGTTTAGTTCGCCTAAGCAAGGCACGTTTTACCACTACAATGACTTCTGGAAGCTGGAGCCTAAGAGTCGGGAGTGGACGCGTGTCGAGACGAAAGGCAAAGCGTCCAGTCCGCCGGCACGAAGTGGACACCGTATGGTCGGCTTCAAGCAGTACATTGTCTTGTTTGGAGGCTTCCAGGACACTTCGGCGACTACGAAGTACTTGAACGATCTATGGATCTATGACTGTGTCAACTTCACGTGGCATACACCGAAGCTGCAGGCAGCGCGCGCAGTTCCAGATGCACGGTCGAGTTTCACGCTGCTTCCTCATGATCAAGGCGCTGTGATATATGGTGGTTACTCGCGAGTCAAGGCTGCAGCAGGCGGAAACAAGGGGCAACAGCAACAACAAGGCAAAGGCAAGAAAGGCGGTGGTGGCGGTCCAGCGTCTCGAATGGTGCTCAAGCCGAAGGTTCATGTTGATACCTGGTTTCTACGCGTCACACCACCACCCGCTGACCAACCCTCTACAAACCCACCAACAGTGTCATGGGAGAAGCGCAAGATGCCTGCGAACGCACCCAACCCCGCTCGTGCTGGAGCTACCATGGCCTTCCACAAAGGCCGCGGTGTACTATTCGGCGGTGTACACGACATCGAGGACAGCGAAGAGGGTATCGACTCCGAGTTCTTCAACCAAATGTTCGTGTGGAACATCGAGCGAAACAGATACATGCCCCTGACACTCCGCCGACCCAAAGCCAACTCAAACAAGAAAGCAGACAAGACCGCCAACGTCAGCCGGCGCGCACGCGGAAAAGCCGACGAGGAAGAGCTGCTCGCCAACCTCAAGGCCTTGGAGATGAAGATCGGAGGCGCTACCCCGCAAGACTCCGACGATGAAGCAGAGAAACCCAAGGAGGAGGAGGAACAAGACCAACGCCCCGAGAAACCGCGTACATACGAATTCCCACATCCGCGCTTCAATGCAGCTCTGACTGTCCAAGCCGATACGCTTTACATCTACGGCGGCACATTCGAGAAAGGCGACCGCGAGTTCACATTTGACGAGCTGTGGTCCGTGAACCTGAACCACTTGGACGGCGTGCAAGAGATCTTCCGGCGCGAGCTGGAAGACTGGCAGGGCAGCGAGGACGAAGCAGATTCCGAAGACGACGAGGACGAAGACGACGAGGATTCCGACGATGAAGAGGATAAATCCGCGCCCTCCACCGCACCAACAAGCGTCACCGACTCACCCCTCGCCCTCCCCTCCAAAGAACCCTTGGACGAAGACCTGGGCACCTCGGAAGAAATCTCCGCGCTCACAGATGGCCTCCCTCACCCGCGTCCCTTCGAATCTCTGCGCGATTTCTACGCCAGGACGAGCGAGGCGTGGATTAATCTCACGATTGAGGATCTGGATCGCAAGAAGAAGATGGACGAGTTTGGACCAAAGGAAATGAGACAACTGGCGTTCAAGGAGGCGGAAGAGAAGTTTTGGGATTGTAGGGAGGAGATTCGCGCATTGGAGGATGAGCAGGAGGCCGCGGGCATTGGGGAGGTGGTTAGTTTGGCGGATAAGGAGAGTGCGGGGGCGGGGGCGGGGAGGAGAAGGTAGATGGGGGGAGTGTGTTTGTGTGTTTGGGATATGGGGACGGGGTGCAACGTGACGAGGTATGGCCTTGGTTTTTCTAGGGCTATTCAAGCAGAACGTTAAAGCGCGTAGGAGCCTATGGGCGATGAGTCCATGTTTGAACACAGGAAACGGGGTAGAATACTACGATCTAAAATACATCCATTATCAGTTCCAACAATTGTGAATGACCCTCGCTCTTAAGTAGTAGAAAAAGCTGGCTGCTACACCCTAGCGATAAGCCTTAACAACCAGGCTCTGGAGGCCTTCAAAGGGAACAAATATGTTTCAAAGTATTTCTAGCAAGCGTTATAGTCTTTCAAAGCTTTGTAGGATTGTAGAGAGCCTGCAAACTGTCACTGACTGACTAACTCCCTCAGTTTTGAGTGATCCGGGCTTGCAGCCGGCTTTTTCTGTTACCTGAGAGCCGTGTTACACCCTACCCCACAAGCCGTCAATGCCACCCCACCCTCCTAACCCCCCACCTCCCCGCCGCCGTCCCCTCACACTCCAAACAAAATCCAACATCGTTCTCAAACAACCGATAATTCAGATCATCCATCGCCTTCTTGATGTACTCAGCCGCCGACTCTGTCCCAAACAGCTCTTCTTGCAGCTTCTCAAAGCCTCCTATCATGATGATAGCGCGCCCAAGCCGTTCAGAGATGGTGCGGTGTTCGTTCATTGTTGCCGGAGTCATGCCTTTGGGTTGGCGGGCGCGGCGTTCGCAGAGGAGTGTGCGGCAGTGGGGACAGAGGTTAGCGTTGCTGGAGGTGCTGTTTAGCCACTGGGCGAGGCAGGATTTGCCGACTGTGTGTTTGCAGGCTGTGATGAGAAAGGCTGTGTGTGTCTTGTTGTAATTGTCGAGACAAATGCAGCAGCGTTGTGATTGATCGCGGTAGTCTGAGACTATGGTAGCCGTCGTCAACGAGATCCCGTCTCCGAAGTCATCGACGTTGTGGTCTGGACCGACATTCTCGAGCTCTATGTCCTTCGCTGGGCTTTGGAGTATTTGTTCAAGGCGGGTGAGTTGGCAAACGATTTCGTCTTGCAGTAGTACAGTACACTCGGGGAACTCTTCCACAAACAGTGGGTCGTGCATCAAGCGGCGATGTTCCGTCTCTGAGCGAGTCATCTCGATGATGTTGACGTAGTAGGCAGTCCGTATGTTCTGCAGGCGAAGCGTGACTTGCTCAAGCACATCCATACTCGGAGAGGCCCTAGCCTTTCTAGCAGCTGAACGACGCCGAAAGGCGGCACGATAGAGATTGTCGTGATCTCGTAAGAAGTCGACAAGTTGTGTGGGTAGGTTGAATAGCGTGACGTCCTCCGCGGATCGTAGTTGCTCTGCATATGTACGGTTTTGACGGATGAGCTCCTTCATATTTCGTGCAGCGCGGCAGATGTAGACGCTATCGCGTTCGTAATGATGTGCTGATATACGGGCTTCGAAGGTTCGACAAATGTTATGAACAGTACCGCTGGGGATGACCAGGCGAGCTTGTGTGGTTGCAAATATCTCAGGCCGAAGACCGCTGAGGGCGTCTTGCAGAAATGATTGCAAACTGGACATCCTGCGGCGGTATCTCTTAGGATGGTGTGACAAAATCGTTCGCAAGTAGAGGTAGGTTTTCGTAAAAATGGGCGGTGTAGTCAACATACGAGGGCCCGTCATAAAACAATTAGACACGGCTTGAATAAACTGTCCTCGTTGAGTTGAGACAAGAACGAACCGACACCAAGCAACGTACGATATTTCAAAGTTGCAGGTCGAAGCGGATCTTGAGTGCTGAGGTAGTGGGTGAAAGACATATCGGTGCTGTTATTGTGCAATACCCAGTTGACGGTCCTAGTCTGCGACGGACGCCTTCACCCTGACTTTGTTGTATACAATAGTGCCGCAGTGTCGAATTTAGGTGAATGCGATATCTGTATCCTGTAAGTATGGTCGTATAACCGACAGAAATGAGTGATTGGAGATGACAAGAGTGCTGAAATTTCAATGGCATATAGTTGGAACCTGTGTGCACACACAAGGCATCGATGGTCGTAGGCCAGCGCTCAGAACTCGACGAACATCTGGCAAGTGCACGCGCGAGACGTGTCACACCAGTCAGAGGAAGGAAAGAATCGAAAAGTCGGAAGTCATAATGTTCAAGCCTCAGCGCTTGCTCCACAGACCTTGCTGAGTCTCCCGAATCCTGCGCTCTTGCTCTTTGATCATAGCCTCGGTCTGACCGTGGCCATTGCCTCTGCTGTCAACATGATCGATCTCCATAGGATCAGAGCCCTCTTCTGCAGGCTGTGGGAACTTCGGTGCTGGAGGTGCGCCGCGTCGTGGCTCGTTCGCCTTGATACCATCCATCATGCCAGCTGCACCGCCGGCTCTCAGCTGGTTGATAGCACGGATAGTGTCGATGGCAGCGTGGAGCGTGCGCCTGGCGTTGAAGTTCTTCTTGACGGTCGGCAGGAGATCCTCTTCGCCTTCGGCTTGTTTCGCGCCGAGGTCAGCGATCCAAGGATGCGACAAAGCTTCGTGAGAAGTCATTCGTGCTGCTGGATCGACTGTCAAACAACGGCGAATGAACTCGCGAGCAGTAAGCGAGACGCCGCGCCAGTATTCGAGAGGCGTAAACGAGTAGTCGGCGACGAGGATAGCTTGCATCTCTTCGAGGTTCGAGTCGCGATCGAATGGTGTGTAGCCGCAGAGGAGGAAGTAAGTAATCACACCGATGGCCCATATGTCGCTGTACGAACAATTAGCGGAATTGAACAAAAAGGTCTAGATAGACACTTACACAGGCTTGCCATGGCCAGTCTTCCTGAAGATCTCAGGCGCCATGTAGCCAGGAGTTCCGCAGGTCGTAGTAAGAACATGGAACTGCTCTTCGTCCATGATGCGCGACAAGCCAAAGTCAGCAATCAGCAGATCAGCATTGTCTTCTGGTGTGCGGAACAGCAGGTTCTCAGGCTTCAGATCCCGGTGTACGATGCCGTGGTCATGGAGATACGCAACAGCGGACAGAGTGGCTCGAATCAAGTCTGCTGCGTCAGATTCATAGTAGTTGCCCTTTCGGCAGATGCGGTCGAACAGCTCGCCACCAAGCGCAAGATCGGTCACGAGATATACTGGGAGTGTTCAGTTTTGAAACATATCTCGGGGTTGGTCTGCGTACAGTTGTTCATGGTCTCGAAGTAGTCCACTAGGGTTAAGATGTTCCTGTGTCCCATGGATACTCTCTTCAAGACCGCGATTTCATTCCTGACCATGTGCTCTCGCCCTGCCATGAGTCTCTTGTTAATGACTTTCGCGGCATAGTATCTCCCCGTGTCGATGTGCACGCACTCCTTGACCACCGAGTAACTTCCAGCGCCCAATGTCTTTCCAGTCTTGTAACGGCATGGCTGCACTTGCGCCTGCGATTGAGGTGTGTGAGCGCCAGATGCTCCGTTCGAAGCCATGTTTGCAGATACAAACGTTTGTGTGTCGCTGTGTCGCTGTGCCGTGATTGCCGGCTTCTCCGACTGGGAAGGCGCGCGCAGCGGCTGAACGGGGAGGGAAGGTGCGGTCGAGTTTGTATAAGGGCCGATGTCTCAGCCTGGCCGAGCAAAGAATGTGTGAAGTGCGTTCGGAAATAGGCGTGGAGATGTACGAACCGCGGAATGAGGGCCCTTGGGTGTTTGGGAAGTGAATGTGCGAGGCACGAGCTGGTGGAGTGGTGTAAGGGGTCTCAACGGCTGTCGACCTCGTATGTCGTAAGCTCAGCTTTGGCGGACCCTTGAAGCCCCCGCGTGGTGGGGTATCGGATTGTGAGAAACAGACTCAACAGCCGTTCTTCCGCAACGGTGAAGGTACCAGGACTCAAACAAAGGGTTTGGAAGATCGGCCGATGGACTCGAGATTTGTTCTTATTCAAAACTCAAGCTGAAGATCCAGCGCCTTGAGAGCCGGCGAACAACGCTCGTGAACACCGAAGCAGCTGAGCCACGGACCCATGTTCCAGCCTCCTAGGTTAGGCATGAAAGATCAGCAACGGTTGTAAGGCTGGGAGTCAAGAGTATCACGCGTGTATTTTGTCCTTCATAGTATCTCAAATCTTGATCTTGACGTGTATACTATTCTTATACCTACATCACGGCGTTCAGTCGTAGCCAACGCTCCTATGGTCTAAACAAAAAGGGGGATCACATGGAAGAAGAGTAGACAGCCTTACGACTTGACGAGCAAGCTGGAGCCATCCATGCTCTCGGGCTGAGAGAGACCCATCAGGGCCAAGATAGTAGGTGCGACGTCACCGAGCACACCGTCAGTCTTCTTCAAGCTCCAGGACTCAGGGGCGTTGGCCATGACGAAGGGAACCTTGTTGACGGTGTGGGATGTCTTGGGTGTGCCTTCCTCTGTAAGCATCTCCTCGGCGTTGCCATGATCGGCAGTGACGAAGAGAACGTAGCCGCTCTCCTTGCACTGGTCGTAGACCTTCTTGATGGCCTTGTCGGTCTCTGTGCAAGCCTCAATGGCTGCCTTGTAGACACCAGTGTGGCCAACCATGTCAGGTGGTGCGAAGTTGTTCATCAGGAACTCGAACTTGCCAGTTTGAATCCTCTCGCAGAGCTTCTCGGCCACAGCCATGGCGCTCATCGTAGGCTGGAGGTCGTACGTGGCTACCTTAGGCGAAGGAACCATCTCGCGCTCCTCGTTCTCAAACTGCTTCTCGACACCACCGTTGAAGAAGAAGGTAACGTGGGCGTACTTCTCGGTTTCAGCAACGTGACACTGCTTCACGCCCTGCTTTCCGAGTGTCTCCGCAAGAACATCATCCATTCGCTGGGGAGGGAAAGCGATGGGGAATGTGTACTTAGGGTTGTATGCGGTCATGGTTGTGAGGTGGATATCGGCAGGGTAGGGGAAGTCGGGCTTGGGCGAGCGGTCGAAGTCACCTAGGAGTTGGGTGATCTCACGAACACGGTCGGAGCGGTAGTTGAAGAAGAAGACAGTATCCTTGTCTGTATGCACGAATTAGCACAAAGACATCTTGGTACTCTGTTCTGTGGCTCACCTTGGATTCTGCGCTCCTTTCCACCGACAATAATGGGCTTCAGGAACTCATCATTCTCGCCCTTCTCGTACCTCTCCTTAATGGTGGCTACCGGGTCGCTGCTCTCCTCGCCCTCGCCAGTAACCAGGCCCTTCATACCGATCTCGACACGGTCCCACCTCTTGTCACGGTCCATGATGAAGTAACGGCCGACAACCGTTGCGATCTCGCCGGTACCGATCTCCGTCAAGGCCTTCAGCAAATCCGTCATGTATCCAGCGCTGGACTTCGGGTCGGTGTCACGGCCGTCACCGAAGAAGTGGATGAAGACCTCAGGGACGCCCATCTTCTTGGCAACCTTGAGAAGAGCGATCAGGTGGTCGATGTGGGAGTGGACACCACCATCAGAGACCAGACCGCAGAGGTGAAGCCTGCCGTTGCCGTCGATGGCCCTCTGGAAAGATTTCTTGATGTTCTCAACCTCTCCAAGCTTGTCGTTCTTGATAGTCTGGCCAATGCGGACAGAGTCTTGCCAGACAACGCGACCAGCACCGATGTTCAAGTGGCCGACTTCGCTGTTGCCCATCAGGCCCTCCGGAAGGCCGACGGCGAGGGAAGAGGCCTCGAGTTCGGTGTAGCCCTGAGCAGTCTTGGAGCCGCTCTTCGCGAACTCGTCCATAGTAGGGGTATCCGCAGCGAGAATGGCATCGCCATCCTTGCGCGACTTCTCAGTCGCAACACCCCATCCGTCGATGACGATAAGAACAGCCTTCTGGTCGACCTGCACCATGATTGCGGGTCAATTGGACAAGTGCTGAAGAGACAAAGAATGAGGCTCGAGGAGACACTCGAGGAGACACTCGAGCTGTAGGGAATATAGGTTGTGGAGGAGGGTAGACCCAAAAAGTCGTCGAGCAGCTGGCCGGTTGGAGGGGTTCTTAGTGGGGCACTGAGCTTTTGATGAGGACCCTAGCATTCGGCGCAGAGCCCAGAGACGTCACAGTTTTGCTTCAACAACTCCACCACACCACCACACCACCCGCGGCCGGCACCGACATCACCTGTGCTGCAAAAGGAAAGCGCACGTTTCGGCGGTCCACTCAAGTGCTTGGAGACGTGCACCAGCAGCCCGCCGGCACCACCGTCGCACACAGCCAATCACCAGACGCCTGATCCGCACGGCGCGTCGGACAAGGCGCGTCCTCCCGCATCGACACCAAGTCCAGCTATCTCCACTATTTCCATACCTCGTTCCTCAGCGACACTTATCATGTCTGGAGCTGCCACACCCCACGCCCCTGCGTCGGCACGTGCCTCGCTCCCACCGACGGGCTCTGCGACGGCAGCTCTGCAAGCTCCAGCTTCTGCTTCCCCAGGCCTCCCCCCGCCGACCACCTTCGACATCCTGCCCGACCTCCACAAGCTCCTCAGGCGCCTTCTCGACACCGCACCCACACCTGCGCCTTCACAATCAGCTGCAGACGGCCCTCTCGAGATCCAGCATGTAGCCACCGCGGCCACAGACATCAGGCTGAAGATACAGGGGGCACAGCGCGCTGTCATGGCGCTCCCGGAGATTGACAGGACGTGTGAGGACCAAGAAGAGGAGATCGAGGACCTCGAGGCACGCATTGCACGTCTGAAGGCCTCTCTGCGGGAGCTTGGCCGGCCAGCAGAAACGGCAGAGGACGGGGACCAACGTATGACGGGATGAGCCTCCACGTGGACTACATTGATCCCTTCTAGGACGCACCTCCATCGACTGCATGGATGCTCTCGATATGGCGCTAGCTCAGGGAGCGTAATGGTATGCACAGCAACACTTTCACAGTCTTCAGATACTGATCCATGGACAAGCTTCAAGGGCACATCCTTCCAACTGGAAAGCTGGTGGGGCTACAATGCACGGCAGGACCCGCACCTGTACCGTTTGCTGCCTGCCTCTATGCGAGCATCTTCGCCGGATAGCCGTGTTTTTTACACCGAATGACGTGGAACACGCTACATGACGTCAAGATGAGGCCGATCCGTTATGGGAAACAGATAAACACGACGATACTCACCTCGGGCTATTCGTTGAGCTACACCATACCAAAGGGAGATGTCGAGCATAGAGTACCCACCTGTCAAGCAGAGCACGACTCAGACCGAGGAAGAACAGGCACGCTATACCGAGCGTTATCTATCTCGCCGTTGCTGACACTCACGAAGAAGAATGTCGATGTGGTGAAGGAGTACATGCGTCTTGCGTATTCGCTAAAAGAATAAGGGCCGTCAGACTGTACAGCATCTTTGTCACGACGATGCGTACTTCATCGCACCCACCACCTTCCCAGACTGCAAGTCGCCCCAAGACTACGCCGAGTCTCACTCCAAGGTCATGGCTTGCGTGTCAGATCTACACATTGACTCGTACGATGTCATCTTTGCGAACGGTGGCCACGTTTGCTTGCGGTACAGCGCATCAGGAAGCCACGATGGTGAACCACACAATGGTATGAAGGCAACTGGCAACAAAGCAGCCTGGCATGCTGCTGCCATCTTCGAGGTGGAAGACGGAAAGATCAAAGGCTGGACCAAGGAGTGGGACAAGCTGCACATGTGGAAGCAGCTCGGCTGGATGGAGGGAGACGAACATGCCGAGATGCCACAAACCTGCGGAGGTCCAGCTCAATCTGCACACGCTCGTTCACATGCATATGGTGGAAGGACTCGCACGTTGTAGCCTAACAATGGCTGTTTAGGAGTTGCAGCACACAGGTAACAACTTATATCTCAAGCAAGCTTCCTGCGCCGCTCAGCGTCAACTTAACCTATGCACCTCAACTCTACCAACATGTCAGAAATTCACCTCCTCCAACCGACGCCTACAACCACTACGTACGATCAGGGCATTGACTGTGACTATGAAGCAGCTGTCCATTGAGTAAAGATCCTAACCATGCTCGCCAAGATATAATCTCACGTTGAAGAAGTATGTGGCGCAGAGGGTAAGGTGTACTCCGATTTGTTATGCAAGGCTCGATTCTACCGACCATCAAAACGGCCCAAACACTTACAGAAACTTCTTGACGATAACTGCACTATGGACGACATTCTCGCAAAGTCGCAAGACGCTGCATACAAACTACGAAAAATCATGCAGATCAGACCGAGCTTCGCAACGTGATACGAATGTATCGTAATGAGGTGAGCAAGATCGCCGTGCAAACCCTCGATATCGTGCTGAAGATTCATGGGCTGGTGACGGCTCGGAAGGTTGCCAAGGACATCATAGACACGGTCAATACTTATCTCATCCGCGACGGCGTGCAGTTCCGCTTATGCGGTCGTTTTGTCGAGGTGTCGAACAAACTTGCTCTTGCGGTCGGGCGATACAACCTATCTGGATAGAGCCCTTCTCAAGTCGCCGGGCGTAACGATGATCTACTTCGCACAGAAAAGCGTTGCTTGAATCTTCATCTCTATCTCCTTCAAGTATATAGCTAGCTGTGTCCTGATTACACACTGCATATGTATTCAACGAACCTCCCGACCCGACGAAATCCCCTCCATATACTTAAACACCCACGAACCCATCGTACATGCAATCACAACATGCGTCACACTCATACACCTCGTCCCATCACCCTAGACAGCCGTGTTGTTCCTAGCATCATCTTCCTGCCCTCCCAGCCCCGCCTCCTTCCCCTCACCGCCACCACTAACACCCACCTTCCGCATACTCTCCACCAGCGCCTTGATAAGCGCAACAGCGACCTCCCACCCCTCCCTCAGCTTCTCCTCGCTCCCGCTCAAATCTGGTACATGCATAAACACCACCGGCCTCTCGCCGTCCCCGCCATTCTGAGCGTGGTAGTGCGCGAGCGAGTTGTAGTAGATGAATCCGCAAAGGAAGTTGCCTGCGTCGGGGTTTATGCGTATGTCGGGCAGTTCCTCGATGGAGGGGGAGCCGGAGGGGGTGCTGTACCCGAGACTTGTGCGCCAGCGAGATAGCACGTCGGCGGTGTCGAACCCCGTGCTCAACATTTCTGGATACGTTTCTTTGGGGAATAGATCTTGCGCCGCAGCGTCAAGGAAGAGGTCGCCGTTGACATCAGCGGTTTTGCCATATCCTCTGGAGTGGGCACCCTGTTCTATGGCATAGAAGCTTCGGCTTGCCGCAAGGCCAATATGAAGAACTATATCTGGAGGAAAGGCTGAGCTGTCGGGTGACAGAAGTCTGGGGACTGTGTTGACGACGTTTTCGTAGGCAACTCTGATGGGTTCGTGATGGACCCTGATGTGGATGGGCGTTGGGTTGCCGGGGGAGGCGGGGATCAAGGCGGGGAGGGTGGATGCGATTTCCCAGGAAGAATTCTTAGGGTATTTGTCAAGGAAGGACTGGGGTTTTGTTAGTATACTGGTTGAGATATGGTGTAGGTTGGTGATCTTTGTGATCAAGTTGATAGATTCGATACAGTTAAATGTAATTACAATCCTTAAGAATACCGACACGTAATATGTAGGAAAGGCAAACACGAACTGAGAATGCTCTCAATGCAGGTTACTCTGGTCATGCCAGTAGTCGTGGGGTTGGTCATGTTCATGATCCTCGGCTGCTTCCTTCCACGGTGTCGTTCTGGCGTCATCGAGCAGAAAGCAGAGAAGAAAGCATGAAGTCGCGTGGCAAGGATGACGCGATGAATATCGGCTTCGGAGGGCATGCTCAGAATGACACGATACAGAATGAACTTACACCAAAGCCAGTGACCAGCACATGAACAGGCTTCTCGCCCTCCACCGCAGGAGGCTGCCGCGCAGCATACGAAGCGTTTGCCATCGTGGGATCGGTCTCAATGACTACAGGGTAGCCAAGAACTAGAATGTGAGATGTCGTGCAGTTGAGAAGGATCAAAAATGGCAGAAATTCCTCCAACTTGAAGTATGCTCCATACAGGCTAGCAGCGCTGGGGTGATGACGAAGGGGTCGGCTCTACCCGAACATCGTGATCTTGCGACAGGGCAGCCATGTCGAGCACCCTGCAGACTGCAGACTTTTATCGATATCTTGAAACCTGCAGTGTGGTTCAGGATTGCACAATAAAGTCCAGATCGTGTTGTTGTTGTGGTCATCGAAGCATTTCAAGGACTGGTACCTCGCTGCTAGCGCGAATCAACTTGTTACTAATTTGGGCTATATCATTTCCAGTTCCGAGTTGCGGAACGACAAAGTCAACCCCACACAAACCACCCCACATCGTCATCGTCCTGAATGGGCCTGTTCGAGCAGCCTCAGGCATCGGAAGGCACACTCGCCATGGAGCCTCGCCGGATGAGGGCCATCGGCTGCTGCACTTGTTGAGAGTGATGGCCCGTATATCTGTACCTGAACCCCCGAATTTTGACCTACCGAACCCGTTGCGAGGACAAATGCAGGGTGCCGAGCTATTGAGCCCTGGCTGATTGGCCAGTTGCAGAACTCTGGTTACATGCGTCATCGCAATCGGAGTCGAATGGAAGCCATCGGATAAAGTCCACTTGCAGAGCCGCACCCTCTTTGACAGCCGTACTTTAGACCCGTCAAGCTTACCTCAATCCTCAAGATCGTCATTGAGGTCACAAAACCTCAGGTGTAGCCTCCGACCTCTCGACAAAACCTCATACCTCGCAATGGCCTCGACAGACTCGCCTAAGAAGAACTACAACCTTGCCATCGTCGGTGGTGGCATATCAGGTCTTACCCTCGCCATCACACTCCTGCGATATGACATACCCATCACCATCTACGAGGCGGCGCCTCACTTCGGCGAGATAGGTGCAGGCGTGTACCTTGGACCAAATGCTGGCCGGGCAATGAAGCTCATGTCTCCTAAGATTCATGAAGCCTTCACCAAAACCAAGACAGGGAATCAGTGGAAGGAGAAGGAAGACTCGTGGTTCACAATCCGCGTCGGTGACGAGCGCAAAGCAGATAAGGACGGCTTCGTCAAGCCGGGCAAGAAGGTGGGCGATGCCCTCTTCGACGTGCCAATGGAGGCTGGAGGTGATCGAGGAGGGGTATACCGAGCAGCTTTCCTGGACGAGCTGGTCAAGGATGTTCCCGACAGTGTGGCACGCTTCGGCAAGAGAGTGGTGGACTTGAGTAATGCAAAGGACAACTCTGGAGACATGGTGCTTCATTTCGCCGATGGAACTACAGCGCAGCACTCTGCTGTTATTGGATGCGATGGTATCAAGTCAAAGACAAGACCATGGCTGCTTGGCAAGGACGACCCTGCATCAGACGCAGTGTACTCGGGGAAATACGCCTACCGAGGGTTGATACCTATGGATAAGGCGGTGGAGATGCTGGGTGAAGAGGTTGCAGCGAACAGCTCCATTTTCTTGGGGTATCACGGCCACATCCTTACATTTCCTGTCCAGAAAGGCAAGACAATGAACGGTACGTCCGACTTAAGATATTTCAATCTCGAAACCTCTACTGACATGCATAGTTGTCGCATTCAACTCCAGCAAAACCTGGGATGAAGAAAAATGGGTAGTCACAACCTCAAAAGAGAAAATGGAAGCCGAGTTCGCAGAATGGGGTCCACAGGTCCAGAAAATCGTGGGAGCAATGGAGAAGCCCGACATATGGGCTCTGTTCATGCACCCACCTTGCAACACCTTTTACAAGGGGCGTTTATGTCTACTCGGTGACGCCGCGCACGCAACAACCCCACACCAAGGTGCCGGCGCCGGTATGTGTATCGAAGACTCGTACATTTTGGCCAACCTGATCAACGAGGCGAACGATGTCAACGATCTGGAACGTGCGTTCAAGGCGTTTGACCAGGTCAGGCGAGAGAGGACACAGAAGAATGTCACAACGAGTAAGGAGGCGGGCATGTTGTACGATTTCGAGCTACATGGCGATGATTTGGATAAGATCGAGGAGAGCTTTCTGAGCAGGATGCAGTGGATCTGGGAGTTCAGTTTGGAAGAACAACTAGAACAAGCGAAGAAGATCTTCCATGGCGATGGCACGAAAATATAAATCCAGCGCTCTCCGAAACATCCCTTGGATTGTCTAGAACTCAAGCTTCTCCATCCTGCACGTTGCTTTCTCACCCTTTCCATATCGATGTTGTTGGAGCAACTTCCTAAATGTCATTGGAAGGGCAAGATCCCTGCCGTGAGAGGAGTCGATTTCGAGCCCCTTTCGATCTACCTGTTGAGATAGATTAACCAAGCAGGGCGCTTCATCCTACAAGAGATTTCTCAAGCGTGACAAGTGCTTAAGTGGATTTGAAAAGTGTATAAGATGGTCGTGCGCTGTTCTATGCTCACAGCCTTATTATCTAGACCTGCTTTTGGACATGTTTCCAGATCGGTTATGTAGGTGTTGCTGTTTAAAACTCTGTAGGGTAAGAACGTGCTGCTCGACCAGGACTACCGAACCCCTCCCCGCTAGCACCCGACCTCGAATCTTGATTCGCCCAATCTCAACACCGACGTCCTTCATGCGTCAACCAACGCCGCGTTCCCTTCCTCTCTCCAAGTCCCTCTTGTTGCACCAAATAGCACCCAGCTACACACATCTTACATTCACAATATATTGTTCAAAATTGATACTCATTTTATGAAGTACACACCATCTGCTCACGTGAGCAAGATCTTCGATGGGTAAGCATATTAGTCCAAGTTCACAACTCGACGGCCCTAACATAAAGGCAGTCTAGTGGTCATGATTTCCGCTTGTCATCGTCTAACGACAACGAGCGCGGGAGACCGGGGTTCGATTCCCCGTCGGAGAGTCATTTGATATGATAATTTTTTGCTTGTGGACTTTTGGAGGGGGGTAGGCGATGCGTAAGGGTGATGGGATAAGCGGGGTAGGGCCGAGGCTGTTGCAACGCGATTTCTTTTCGGTCCAGCACACTCGTCTGACTTGATCTTGACCGGTAAGTTCATTAAGTTCTACCTGCAGAAGCACATAAATCCATCTGTCTCTTTTTGTGTACCTGCACCATTTGTCATCGCAGACTTTGGAATTCTCATATGATTACTACTACGACTATATTGCATAGCAATGCGAGATAGAGGCGAGATGGCTCGGCTGCAGCCTTGAATGTAAACTCTCAAGGACCCTATGGAAGCCCAACTGTATCTGAACCCTCTTTCGTAACTGTTCGAGCCGGCCAATTTAATCTTACTAGATCGTGCCACATCAGGGTAGGGAAGTGCCCCAGAGTATGGCTACGTCAGAACACGAATTGGACAGCCTTGGTATGCAGACTGCGACGACGCAGGTCCATGAGAGAGATCCGCCTTTGTCAAATACCAATGCGGTTCTATGAAAGTGGTGTGCGGGGCGAAGCGACGGATTGGGTCATCTAGGTACGCTGTGTTATTTCGTCTCATTGTCGATTCAGTCGTTACGCACTGTCCGGCGTCTCAATAACTCCTCAGCTCACACAAGCTTTTCCAGCTCCAACGACAGCACCTGATGAGACTCCACAAGTGCGAGCCATACGTGATATCGTCGGTCACATCCTCTGGCTACACATGCTAGGGTGGAAAGTGTTCACATGCGCGAATCCCAAGTAGATCGACCGGTCTCCCGATCTGATCGAGCTTTTCAACCAATCTCTCACGAATGCAGAAGTTATGATTGCGAACTATGTTGGTTTCTCTGGCCGAGATGTTGCCTCGGGAGCCAGGAACCGGATCATCCGGCATGTGAATATGTTGAGCATCGGTCAGGCTGTCGTTACCATACTCGATAATGAGCCTGACGCTTTTTACGGAGACATACTTCATCTCCAGATCAATCAGTTCAGAGCTTGTAGGTGTGCCACTCAAGCAGCAAATTAAAAGATTCATTGGGCCCCGAATACCTTCACCGAATTACTGTCGAGTATGGCGATAGTTGGAAGCGACCAAACGCTATACTTAAATCTCTTATCGACCTACGCCGCTCAATCAAGCAGGCCATAGCGGCAAAACTTCTGGATCCTGAGCGCTTGGGTTCGCTAAATGAGAAGTTGGGTTGCTTCGAAGACGTCTGGGCAGCAGCCTGGCAAACAGTTGCCGATGAAGGTGGTGCGCTTTACGGAGAGACCTTGATCGATTCGAACCTACAGCGATAGTGGTCAATTTCCTCGGCATTACATCACTTGAAATGGCACTAATCCTGGGCAGGGACGTCTAAACCCCACCAGCCAGATGGTCATCGTCAGATCTCTCCTCTTCTACAAACATGCGTGCCGGGCTGAACTTCATCGTGCCCATTGCATGCCTTCTCTCGACCATGCCAGCAGCACTTGCTTGGTCACATGGCAGCAGGGAATCTGGAACCTCAAAAGATTCCGACTTCTTCCAGACTATCGCGGGAAGCGCATTGCAACTCCTGGGTCTTGTTACATTCATCTGGCCAACACTACCTCATCCGCGCCTCGTAGGTCAAACTTGGTGGTTCATTTGGATATTGGCTATTTTCAGTGCCATCTGTGCAGTTCTGAGCATCTCCCTGTATCTAGTTGTGCCAAGCACCTGGAGCTTTGCAATAGGGTTTGCTGGGGGAAATTGCACAGGCTGTTGTACAGCTTCAGGTCATGAATGCAGTGTAAGATGGCTGACACGACTTTGTCTCGTCATCTACCAGAGGCTGCTCATTGCTAGCAGCTTTTATCATACCAGCTATGTATGAAAAGGGCATGCAGAGAACAAGAGACTATAGATCAGGGACTCAGGGTTCCACAGGTGTTCGAACAATTCAAATTCCGTGCTCGAGATGCGGAGTTTATCACTCTCATGATCGTTCCATTACTCCAGTGTCAACCATCGTTGTCGCACAACTGAGATTAGTCGTGAATTGACTACATTTCATATCTCAGAAGCCAACCTCCACTTCCCAATAATATAGCCTCCTGTCCCCATTCTCGGCTTGCCCTCACTCCCTGTAGCGGTGTGGACCGCTGTAGAATACTGATAACTACGGTAAACGATAACGTAGGACTATCGGGTCGATGGAATACTGCGCTGGATTGCTATCTAGCTAGGAGGAGACAACTATATACCTGACCTGTAACACACTAGTCCAGGGTAGTGATCAGGGGTATAGTCAGGCACTGTACGGACCAACCGATACCGCAACACTCCCACACAGTGGCACACACCACGATGTCTTACGGCTAGCACGATGTCTTACGGCCAGTTCCTTTCCCAGTCCCCACTAACCAGTGCACCAATAATCTACACCAGCAGCTTCCCAGGCGTTGGTAAGCTCACCGTCGCCCGTGAAATCGTCAAGATCCTAGGCGAAGACAACACCATCCTACAAGACAGCCACAAGCTGATCGACTCCGTGAACACTTTGTGTTCACGAGGTCACCCTGACTATCAGAAGGAGCGAAAGGCAGAGCGAGAGCGCCAATTCGAGGCGTACGTTAAAAACTCAGAGTTCAAGGATCGCGTCGTGATATCCACAGGTACGTGCAATGCGTTGAACATGAAAATTTCCGCCAGAAGAGACAGACCGAAGAACTTCACGAGTTTAAAACTGACAATGAGTTGATACCAGACTTCACAAACATGCAACCAGAGGCTGCAAGATAGCAGATCGTAGAGTGGATAGCGAACAGAGAGTGGCGCAGGTGTCACAGAGACTTGCCGCGTAGACACTGCTATCAGACCAAGGTAGCAAACACGGCAGCATCGAGGTAAGACACATCACGCAAGACATTAACGATGTTTTCAGAAAGCAGTGACCAAGTCACATTGTATTATGATGCATCGAGAAGAGAGCTATAGACATGCTAGCCATGTATAGTTGTTCATCGATGAATGAAGCCCTACCAAGAACCCGCCAAATCCAAAGATCGTATCATGAAATGTGAAACCCGCCGGTGAAACATACCATCCTCAAAAGAGACGGGAGTGGGAGGTTCTGAAGGCACCATGGTTCATCTCAACACAGACCTGACCATGATGAGTTGTAGAAGAGTGGCTGATATCTAGGCGATGAAGGCCATTGCTGCAGCACCAGCAGCGATCAGCGAGCCCAGACCAAGGTATGGAGTGGGCAGGACAGCACCAGCAGTCGAGACTTCCGCCGGAGTGCTAGTTGATGAGGAGGGACGAGTAACGGCAGCCGTGGAGGAGGGAGCCGTAGTCGTACCAGGAGCCGACGCAGTGGAGGTCTCGATGCCGGACGAGGGAGCCACGCCAGAAGAAGGGACCACACCGGAAGAGGGGACAGCAGGAGGGACACCAACAGGAGGGACACCAACAGACGGGACACCAGTCTCCGCAGGGGGAGCAGGTGGGATGACGGTGGCGGTCTCGACCGGAGGGCCGCTCAGAGGAGCAGTCGCCGTAGACTCGACCGAAGTGACCGGAGGAGCTGGTGGAGGCGCCTCGTAGGAGGGAGCCGCGGGAGGAGTGTGGACAGGCACACCAGGCGCGCCGCACACGGTCTCGGTGACAGTCACGGTGACTGGGGCGACACAAGCGGCTACAGAGCACGTTAGCCTGAGCTACACAGAGTTGATGGTGCGCACTTACTGTCATGGGGAGTATCGTGGGCAACAACAACGCAGGCGAGCGCGGCAGCGACGAGAACCTTGAAGGCAACCATGGTGATAGCGGTAAGCTTGTTGAATTGGTGATGCGGTAGAGCTGGAAGTATGTTTGATATTTCTGCAGCGTGGACGAATGCTTGCGCGATGGAGTTGAAGGTGTGTCGTGGGAAAAAGACGGAAGAGGCGGGGGGAAGGCAGCTTATAATGGGAGCTGGGCGCAGGCGGCGAGACGCGTTTGCAGCAGATATTTCGGCGCGCAAGGGTGACGCAGAGTCCTGGAAAGCGCTCGAAAGTGTAGGTGAAAGAGAGGCTGGCGGCAAGGCGGGTGGGGCAACTGCGTCTGTGCTGTGTTTACCAAAGTGTCACCGTCTTGTCCACACAACGGGAACACTGCTGTAGTGCAAATGCAGGCAGCCTAACTTGCTTCTCTGAGCACTAGTCTGCGGCTCCAATAACTTTTCTGTGCAGCCTTTGACGTGTGCTCCGTCCTAGCGAGCTAATTGGGCTGTAAGACGGGGCCTTGCCGGACGCTGGACAGTGAAGGTGCTATCACGTGCCAGACATGCACCTGCCCGGGTTGTTGTTGGAGCTGCGCTCGAGAGGCCATTTGTATGCTCAATAACGTAGGCGCAATCTCAATCTCGCAGCAGCAGCTTCACTGGAAGCGCTTTGGTCCCGTTGTTGTTTGTTGTGGTCCCGCAGCAACTTCCCTCTTGCTCTGCAAATCGACGCTACAGTCTTGGCACTCTCGCTCGCTTTCTTCATAACATCGTCCAGCTCTTGATCTTCTTCTTCCCTCCACCGACTCTCTACACTCATTATCCAGCCCAGGGCGATTGACATTCAGTCTGTTGCTGCTCAACTCATATCCGTTCCTTATCCTCTCGCATCACCACTGGCACTGCCTCACCATGAAGGTCTTCCAGCTGGCCGCCCTCTTCGGAGGTGCTGCATCTGCCTTCCAGCCTCTCGTCGGTCGAGATGGTGAGTGCTTCCTAGCTCTTGCATGTCTCTCCAAGCTTTGCTAACCATTTTTGCAGACGGCACTACTACCACTGTAGTCTACACGACGTCAACATACACCATCACTAAGTGTGCTGCGAGTGCTACCAACTGTCCTGTTGCTAGCGCCACGGAGGTGTTCACGTCGACTACCGTTATGAGCGTAACGACGACGATCTGCCCAATTACCTCGACTCCTGGTCTTCAGCCACCTGAGTCCGGAACCGCGCCATCGTCTGTTCTCAGCCCAGCTCTCTCCACCAGCTCGCCAGGCACGACGAACACACTCTCTGACTCGGTTCCTACCTCTTATCCGCCCGGTGCCTCTGGTCCTTCGAGTGCCTATGTCCCTCCTGTTCAGAGCTCGGCTTTGCCTACGGGTCCCTCACGGTCGCTTGACTTCTCGGTCAGCCTGATCTCGCCCAACCCTTCTCTGTCAGTCACAGGTACCGACTCGATACCGACTTCATTCCCACCAGGTGCATCTGGGCCCTCGAGCGTTTACACTCCTCCTGCTCAGACCTCGGCGCTGCCCACAGGCCCCTCCGGCTCTGACACAGTCATTGTGCCACGACCCAGCCCAAGTGGCTCGGCCTCGTTGCCTGGTAGTCTGACCAACTCTGTTCCCACCTCTTTCCCTCCTGGAGTGTCAGCCTCTGGCTCCTCGATTGGCTACCTCCCTTCTCAGCCGTTGACGACCACTGGACCAGCCTCGAGCCTGCCCACTTCTGGTACCAACACAGACGCTGTGCCCACTTCTGGTGTTACGCCTTCGAGCGGCTACGGTCAGTCTTCAGCGCCGAGCAACACTGCGACTGATGCCATCCCCACTTCCGGATACTCAGCTTCGAGTGCCAGCCCGTCAAGCGGTGCCTACTCCCCGTCAGTGTCAAGCAATACCGATGCTGTCCCTACCTCCGGGTACCCTGGGTCCAGTGCCGTCCCCAGTGGCTCGAACTCGCCGTCGGTGTCGAGCAACACTGCTACAGATGCCGTTCCCACCTCTGGCTATCCTGGTTCCAGTGCTCCTCCATCAAGCGGTCCTTACACGCCATCCTCGCCAAGCAACACCGCCACTGACGCTGTTCC